GAAAGAGCATCAGAGTTTATCATTCAAAAACCACTTTTATATGGATGATGCCAAATAAAGAATAGGGACGCAGAGAGACTACGTGACTCCAAGATCATGCAGCTAGCCTTAGGCAGAGTGGGAAAAGGAACTCAAGTCTCCCAATATTCCCTCTGCTCCTTCACTGCCACCATCATGCCTCCCTGGTCTCTCCCCTGAAGCCACCTATTCTGACCAGAGGTTTGTGACGTTCATCCACTGGTCTGAATTTGAATTCCCCCTCTCTCTGCACATCCCCCTCAGCTTACTGCAGGAATTTTCCACACTCAAATATCAAGAGATGCCTCATTCAAGACAAAGTTGATGGGGGAAATAGAAACCTCTGATGGGAGAGGGGATGTAAAACCCTGGGAGGAGAGATTCCCTTTGCCAGGGTTGGAAATAAAGGAGGAAGGGTCGATCCAGGGAGGAAGGCACTAAAAACCATTCCCACCGAGGCCTCAGAGAAATGATGCTCCTTTTTCTCCAGAGGTCCAAGAAGCCGCAGTTTATCCCGCAGTCTTCATTGGCAGCTCCACAGCCATGTGCAGAGAAAGGAGGACAGCAGCACAGTTTTCAAAACTGGTAAAGAGCCACAGAAGATCATTCCATGGGGCATATACAAAATGAGGACAAAAGGTAGAATAAATCAATGAGGCAACCAGTCCGGTCCTTCGGCTTCTTTCTCCTGTGCATTTGATCTCCCCAGGACTGTCCAAAAATCTGAGTGTGTCACAAACACATACGCAGATCATACATATATACCATTCCATTACCTAGACACACACACTCACATACACAAATACATCATCTCATTCACACATAGGACAATTTCAGGTATTAAGGTAAGTACATATTTATTATCATACATACTGTTTATAAACATACAAAGAGACATCAGTATGGAGCTCTGACTTCACCAACTGTCCTTGTCACACACATCAGCCTTTACCTAGATACCCCAGATACATACGTATACATGTCAGGCATTCACAGTTTCATTCTGATACATCTTGTTCACATATCCAGATTGTTTCTGTAACTCCTTCAGTTCCAGGCTCTGTTCGGAGGTTCTCAAATCCCATCACTTTTGAGCATCACCCTCTAAAAACAATAACAAAAACGACCTCTCCTTTTCTCCAATTCCCATGCCTACTCCCCTCCCCCACTGCACACAACAACAGAATTATAGACAGAACTGGGCTCTGTGACATATGCAGGTATATCCATTCATTCGTTTGTTCATTCCTTTAAGAGCAGTTATTGAGTGCCTATTATGTTCCGGTACCACACTAGATTCCATTGCAACAAAGATGGGCACAAATAATCCCCAACTGCGTCCTTGCTCCAGCTCCCCAGAAATGACCTTGAACTGCAGCTTAGGACATTGAGTCTAAGTCACGGAAGCCTGAGCATGCACCATGTGGAGAAAGGAAAAGAGAAAGGGATTGTTTTACACTATCCCAAGGAAGAGGGAAGTTTTGTCTGTAAAATTTCAGAAGAAACTGGAGCAAAGAGAAGAGAGTGAGGCTTTTCCTATCCTGGGAGAGAGAAAGAATTCATATATATGTTTGTACTGTGTATAACCCCCCTCCAAAGTAAGCGATGAAGCAGAAACCAGAATGGTTGAATTTTACCACTTGGGTGGGTATCATAAAACAAGGAGCAGGGGGCCTCTCCTACTCTCCACTCTTTTGATGGAGTTGAACCATATGACAAGCTCCATAGAATCAGGGACTGGGTCCATTTTGCCCACCACCATATCCCCAGCATCCGGCACATCACCTGCCCCACAGGAGGCACTCGATTAAGAGTTGTTGAATGAATGAATGAGCTAAGGATGGCAAACCAATCTCCACTTGTAGTTTTTCTTGTTTTGCAAAAGACACCGAAAAACCTTTCCATTTCTGCTGGCCCTCCCCCACATTCCTCAAGGCTCTCTGGTCTCAGAGAAGAGTGGGCAGACTAGCCCAGTCCTTCATCTTAATGTTAGAGATGCTGAAATTTGTCCTGGTTCACCCATTATCCCTGAAGTGCCTGGCTCAGTGTCTCTCATGCCTCAGCTTACGAGTCTGCTTAGTTAGGAAAATTTCCCCTAGGTAGAGGTGAAATCCAACAGCTAATATGCTCCAGATTCTGAATTTATCTTTGGCAGAGTGCTAGTATGGAAAACAGAATTCCTGGATGCCCTTCCCAAGAAGAAATTGCCCTGCACTATTATATTCATATGGGCTTTTTTAACCAGAAGAAAAAACACCAGGCCCAATTTCCCTGAAGAGATCCTCAATGTCCCAGATTAGAAATTAAAAGGGTAGTTGGGATGGAGGAGATAGGACATGTTGAGCAGCAGAATATATATATCCCATCTGTCTTCATTTGACTCTGTGCGACCCCATGGACTGCAGTCCACCAGGCTCCTCTATCCATGGGATTCTCCAGGCAAGAATACTGGAGTGAGTTGTCATTCCCTTCTCCAGGGGATCTTCCCAAGCCAGGGATCTAACCTGGACTCTCCTGCACTGCAGGCAAATTCTTTACTGTCTGAGACACCAGGGAAGCCCATTCAATATCTAGTCCTGAGATAATCATGCCCATCTCCCTGTTTCCAGACTAAATAGCCCCTTCCCACCTGGGCCTTTTGGGTACAGGTGGTGAATGGGGTGGGGGTGGGAGTTCTATTTCTATTTAAGGTGGAAATGCCCTCTTTGCTCACTTCTTCAGAAACCACTCAACCCTGAGAGCTGTCTCCCTCTCCTACCCAGCAAAAATCCTCAATCCTTTGCTTTCCCTTCATCTGACTGGCAAAGCCTCCCCAGGATTCAAACAGGGCCAAATTCAGTAAGCTATCAACTTCAGATCTACCTTGGTATCAAGATCTTCCTCTGCTTTGAGACTGGGAATCTATCCTTGGTAATTCATATTGAGGAGATGGTACTTCTCTGGATAAGTTATGACATGTAGCTGGCGCTCTTAAGGACCAGATTGCTGAAGTGAGTGAAAACCAGAACAATCTCATCAATAAGATTAGTGATCCTTGTCCACCGTGCTCTCCTGCAAGGATGTCTCAGCTAACAGGCTCTGTAGGGGCAGCTGCCTCCACTCCCTTCCTCCCCTGGGTTTCAGTGCCTCCTTCCGAGGGTCCTGTTTCCTTGCCATAGACCACTTCTCACCCTAAAGGAAGAAACTGCAATCTGCTTCCAGAAAGGCTTTGTGGTTAGAAAGGTATGGGAGAGAGTGAAATGGGTAGACCCACCTCTTTTGCAGGGCCCCTTACCTGGAACGGAGGCAAGGGGAAGATATGATGAGCCACTCGTGCTGTGGGAAAGCATCCTAGGATGCTTGGATTCTCCTGTTTCTAGACCCTGAGGTCCCTTCTTTGCCTCTAAACCACTTCCTACCTACCCTTCTTGCCAGCTTAGTTACCATCAACAGAGCAAGGTTTTCTATCAAGAATCACCCGAGTGCTCCTCCCAACAAAAATTGATTCAACATGATTTTCCATTTCTTCATCCCAGAACCTCATTCCAAGGATTCATGGAGCCCGCAAATTGCACTGGCCAGAGACAGCAAAGGAGGGGACCAAGAAGTACATTTGGATTCCAAGCCTTGTTGCCCAATGTGCCTCCATTCTCCCTAAGGCCTTTCTAAGCAGCTGGTATGTAAATCAGACCCACCAGCCCAACATAAAGACATCATCTTATCGCCACAGGTGAAGTATTTTTAAAACAACACACTCATAAGCATCTATCCATATTCTATGCCCATCTCTTCCTCTGCCGGAACCTAGAAATGAAAAGCTTCAGTGCTCACAATGAGAATATTGGGGAGCAACTGCGTGTTGAGGCTGTGTTCCCTGTATTTCCTCACCAAACATCTGCAGCCTCTCTCCTAGGGCCATGGGGAGTCATAGCAGGGAGAGCAGCACTTTCTCTTGTTTTCTGGTTAAGGATCAACAGACTGCAGAGATTATCGGGTGGCAGCCGACAGAGAGATAAACATGGTACATGGCTTGTCTTTGAACCAATCCTCTTCTTCTCTGATAAGCAGGAAGAAAACTTCCTCTCCTTCCCTAGAACTGGAGTATGGGACACCTGAATCTTTCCCTTTCCCATTTATTCCTCTCCACATGCCCTCTTCCTGCAAAAATAAGAAAAGATGCCTAGATGTGCTTGGAGATCCTTGGGAGACCCTACAGTGACAAAAAGGCTTTGACAGTTACCTTGCCCCAGTCAACCAATCTCCCCTCACCACCACCCCAGCTCCCAGGTTGGGGCTCCACGCCCTCTCCCCCAGGACAGGGTTCCCCCCTTCTCTAGATTCTAGGTGGGTCCCCCATCATTAATATGCAGAGTGTGTTTCCAGGCCCCAAGAGAGATGAGCAGCTTAGGAATGGGGCAACCACCCCCCCCCAACTCCCACCCTCTGTAGGATGCAGGAGGCAAAAACCACCAATCCCAGCCGAGATATGTATGACCCACAGGTTGGCACAAGTATCCCCATGCACTGGACCTGCATCTGTGTGCAGTCACTCTACAGACCTCTCTGTGACCCTGGGACACTCATGCACACACATGTGATGTGCCTCACATCTACCCAACCCTGCACATGGATACGTGTGAGTCAGCCTGGCACCTCCTGAAAGCTGCCTGTCCGCAGGCAGCCCTGCCAACACCGCAAAGATTGTGCCGCCTCTCTGCGCCGCATGTGTCACCGGCGGGGGGTGGGGGGGGTGGTCCGCAGGCACCTCGTTAGCTCTGCAACTCCTAAACCCGCTCCAAGCGGCCGGCTTGCTTTGCACATGCCTTGCACATGTGGCCTGGCCACGCATGTCCGGGCAGCTTATGTCCTCGCACCTGCCAACATGTGTGCCCCAGAGAATCCACCGGCCCGGCTCCAGCTACACCCCCCCACTCCCACTTTAAGGCTCCCTGAGATCCCTTCCCCCAATCTCCCCCCCCCCCAACCCCGGCCCGGAGACTCACAGAGACCGGAGCTTAATCCACATCTTCTTGCTGGGGGCTGACTTCAGCTCCAGGGGTGAAGGGCAGTCCGACTCTAGCATCTCGGGAGGGCTGCGGGGGGACAGCTCCATGCTCAGCCTCCGTCTATGGAACCGAGGGAGGAGACAGCACCGCGGCTCAGCCTCAGCCCCGAGCTGGCAGACCCGCGCCCCCAGCCCAGCCCCTTCCCACCTGCGGCTGGCAGGGACCAGCCAGGCCGGGGTCTCCAAGGCTCGGCCCAAGCTGGCAGAGCTGCAGTTCCTGCGGCTCCTCCTCTCCCGCTGCCCAGCCGAGCTCTGGGCTCCCAGTCCGAGCTCTCCGCGCCGCCGCCGCGCTCTGCCGGAGCCGCCTCCTCGCTTCTCTCCTCCTCCCCGGGCCGGCTTCCCCTCCCTCTCTCCCCCTCCCTTCTCCTCGGCCTGCCGGCTCGTCTCTCACTCCTCGCAGCCTCTCCTCCCCCTCCCGGAGGAACGCCTGGCAGCCGGGGGCACACGGAGACGGCAGCGCCCAAGGGCGAGCGCACGCACCCAGGCGCCGGGTGCGGGAGGCTGCGTGTGCCCCGCGCGGGTGGAGATGAGTGCGTGTTGACAGCGCAGCGCAGGCGGCGGGCGGCAGGACTTCGCTGTGGGCGGTGGTGTGGGCTCCCTGGGAGTGTGTGTGGAGTTTCTGTGTATGTGCCGGTCCTTTCATGTATCCCCCGCGTGCCTAGTCGCCGGTGCGTCCCAGGCGTGAGGGAGAGGTCGGGGAGGAGTCCCGACACTCGCTGAGGGAAGCCATCTAGCCCCAGCATCCAGCCCCAGACGGGACCCTCACACGTGTGCTCCTGCCTTTGAACGGAAAAGTACAGTGTCTGCTGTCAGTGGCCATGGTCATCCACTCCTCTCTCCAGTTCCCTCAGCTGGGCTTCCCGACGCTCCTCCAGCCTGTGGCCTTCCCTCTGGGGCCTCAGGCAGGTGGGAGTTGCTCCGAAGCCAAACGCTTTCCAGAGAGAAGCGGACCAGAGCAGGAAGCACCCTGTCTTGACTTGATTATAGGTAACTCCATAAGGGCCAGGAAATCATTCCTGTCGCATCTCAACCCCTGCATCTCAACCCCTTTCCTCTTATTCTATCTTCCCTGAAAGAAATCCAATGGCTAAAGGCCCAACACAAAACAGTTTAGCTGCTTAAAACATCTGTAGAATGAATGCTCTGGAGTCTGAACTCAAGACCTGTAGCAGGGCGAAGCCTCTTCCGTCAAAGTGAGTTCTACCTAGGACTCTGGCAGGAAGTTAGGATTCCTTTAAAGTCTCCTCCTTAGTGGCCACCTACTTTGGCATTGGTGGAAATCTTTTGTGAACCGAAAGTGGATGTGTATTCACTAACTAATCCATGACCCACTAATTAAAGAATGTGAGTTTTAATTTCAAGAACTCTGGAGGCTGGAAGGATGAGTGATGAGGAGAAGGTGTGGACTCCATATCAAGTGGCAACTCCCTCCTTCCCAAGCAATTGAAGAGAAAGGAAAAGAAGTAAAGTGACAGGGTGAAGATTCTCAACATAGAAGGATTGCCTTTTAGGCAGTGAAGGTAGGTCAGGCCTTCAGATCTGACAGGACAGAGAAGTATCAGCAGAATCAGCTTCAAGGAAGTACAGAGGCTGAAGGTGACAGCAAGCCAGAGATGGAGACAAAATCAGAGAGAACGCTGGACTTCAGCCGCTCTGTCCATATAACTTTAGCACACACCATTTCCTGTGCTGGCCAGTGGAACTGTCCTAGCCAAGACATGCGTGCCTCTGAGATGTGAACCAGATTCCTTCACAATTCGGTCCTAAATTTGAGGGCAATCACCTTCTTATCAACTGAGAAAGAATGGGTTGAAAAAGAATTGTGAAATAAAATTAAAGAGCTATAATTAGGAAATTAGGGTTAGAGCTAAGGAGTTTCCCAAATTGGGCAGATGTTTCAACCAGAAGAGGTGGGAAAGAGGCTTCCATTAAGAGAGGGATCTCTCAATGTTTCTTCTTTTTTCCCCTCAGTGTTTCTTGTCAACACAGTGACATATTTCACCCCTGCCTTCCCAGGCCCCCAACTTCTAGCCCATTTTAAGAAAAGGAAAATTCAAACACACACACACACACACACACACACACAATTCATGAAATATACTTTAGAGTCCATCTAGTCTAATCCCATTTATTTAACAAATGGGAAAGAACTTCCTTGGTGGTCAAGTGGTTAAGAATCCACCTGACGATGAAGGGGACATAGGTCTGATCCCTGATCCAGAAAGATTCCACATGCCTCCTGACAACTAAGGCCACATGCCACAACTGCTGAAGCCCATTCATCTAGAGCCTGTGCTCCACAAGAGAAGCCACTGTGATGAGAAACTCGTGCACCACAACTAGCAAGTAGCCCTAGCTTGCGGCAACTAGAGAAGGGTCCACACATAGTGACAAATACCCAGCGCAGAAATAAAATAAATAATTTTCTTTAAGTGGGAAAACTAAGTCTAGAAAAGTTATGTGGTCCCACAGAGATTAAGAGACTGATCACCTACACACAGAGAATAAATAACAAAGCCAGGGCCAAGTCTCCTAACTCTTTTCCATTTTCCATTGTTGCTTTTTTTAACCACCAGTCCTGGCTTTTCATCTCAAGCTCATCCGTCTTGTTTTAATACAGTCTCATTTCTGCCTCACTCTACCCCTAGAGAGGTAAGAACAGGATATGTCTGTTCCATTTATTGTCTCAAAAGACCACCATTCTTCTCTCCCTGTCTTTCCCCTTGTTCCCAACCCCCAGCTTTCCCAGGCTTCTCCCAACCTCAGCCCTCTCTCTTCAGCTTCCAAATTGCCCCTGCCTCTTGGAGACCCTTCCTCCTCACTCCTCTAACCCCACAACCCCTTCCTACGATCTCTGAGTTTGATAGAGACAAAAAAAAAAAAAAAAACCCAGATGCTTTGGCAGCGGGTGAAGGCTGGATGTGATCTGCCTCCTACAGGAATGCTATTTAAAGGGGCGGCCTCACAATCCTCTCCCTCCAAAGTGACAAGAGAAAAGCCTGCTCCTCAATCTCTCCAGAGCTGCAAACTCAGCTCAAGTTAACTTCTGACTTCCTCAACCTGCACCCTGGCCTGCTGCTCCTTTTTCCTATTCAGGTGGGAGGGAGAGGACTTGACAACTGAGGTGTGGGGGCCGAGGGGGGACTCATCTTCGTCTCCTTTGATGACAGGTACTTAGGAGGAGCAGGAGGCCCTGTGGGGCGGAGGACTGGAAGAACACTCTTCCCCCAACCATGTGAGTGACTTCAACCACGTGCTAGCTTCTTCTCAAAGTCAAACTTTGTTGGAAGAGAACTGATCTAGGCAAGAGAATCTAAGGTTCTGGAACTCTTGTCCCTAGCGGGGGCCTCCTTCCCCACCGAGTGTCCATGCTTAAACCACATGTGTTCTTTTCCTCCCTGGCCAGTGCCAAAGGGTGAGTTTCCCCTTGGCCAAGCCCAGGGATGTCCCCCCACCCCCACCCCCACCCCCTGCACATGAAGGCTACCCTCACCCACTCACCTGACTGAACAGCGTGGTGAGGGAAACACTGTCTCTACTGCCCAGAGGAACAGGGACTCCCCTTCAAGCATCTCACCCCCAGGTCTGGTGGGAGGGCTAATTCTATCTCATTGCCGCAAACAAGTTAATGGAGTTTTTAATGAAAACACTGCACTAATGAAAATGCTGAGGCTAGAACCTACTCTCTGACTGCGAGACAAAACAATCGGGGTCAGAATTTCTTTTTGATGTTCATTCCGCAGTTCCTTTTAGGCCTGAAGTGAGCTGGGGATCTGAGTATAGAAAGCGGTTCATCATGGACTGCATCCCAGACTGTAAGAGGTCAGAGACCCTCCTGGCTGAGGAAGGAAACTGCCTAAAATGCCGATGGGTCCTGTTAACTCAGCTGTCCTTCACCACAGTCACCTTTTGTTAAGGTGGTCAAGGCCGCATGTCCTCACCCTCTTCTATTTTTCTCACTCTAGGGTCTCTGGATTCTAACAACTAAGTCTTCCCAGATGAAGAGGCAGTCGGGGCAGGTAGAAAACGTCCAGGGCTGAATGTCATCTTTGAGTCCTAGTTCCGAATGTACTGATAAGCATGTGACCTTCATTAAGTCATTTAACATCTCTGAATCTGCATTCTGGCCTGAAATAGGAAAGCCTTCCCTGGTTACCCTGCACAATTGTCTTAAGGTTGTGAGAGCACTTTGAAAAAGTATATGTGATAGAGAAGTGTGTGTGTGTAATGATATGTTTATAAAAAGACATTATGTCACATGACAAAATTTTATAAAAGGAGAACAGATTTGTGTTGCCAAGGGCTAGGGAAGGGAAAGGGGATTGTGGGTGGGACATAATGGAACAATATGAGGAAGGCCCTGTAGTGATAAAACCGTCCTATATCCTGACCATGGTGGCAGATGCCTGAACTTACACATGATAAAGCTGTACAGAAACTAAATACACACAGTGAAATGAGTATAAGTAAAACTGGAGAAATCTAAATAAGATCAATGAATTATACCAATGTCAATATCCTGGCAATAGGGACAGGGGATAAATTTGGAGATTGGGGTTGATAAAGTGCTGTTGGCAACTGTGATTTAAAAAAATATATAAACATGAAAAAAAAGTCCTGGTTACAGTGGCATAGGACAGTTTTGCAAGATGCTTTCTTTGAGGAAAACTGGTAAAGGTACACAGGATCACCCAGTATTATTTCTCAATAAAAACTGTAATTTAAAAAAAGGTATTATATGTCTACTTTCTATTCCCCTGCAGCAACTTGTCTTGCTGTCCTCTGGGACGTTCCTCTTAAGCATTCCTCATGCATATGGAAAAGGGATCTCTTGGCTCCTCAAACAGAGGATCCCAGCAGAAATATAAGTGAGTGCAAGGGGAGCTGCTCAGATACTTCTGAGCTTTCTCTTCTTCATCAACACTTCCCTCAGTCTCAGGAGGCCTGACCCCCGATCACTCCTTAGAACCTAACATTCTTTCCAGAGCGTGGAAGGACAATTAGCTGATGCATGGCGCAGGACCCTCCGATGCTTCTATCCTAAAGAGTAGACAATTGTTGCTAAGAAAAACTTGTGTATTAATTATGGGTGCCAAGTTTAATAAGGATTGACTAAGCCTGGGTCTCAAGAAATAAAGATCAAACACACACATATCTAAAAACAGCTAACAAATAGCTTTAATGAACTCCGGATGGATTTGCTGAAAAGCAAAAATTGCTTCCCTTTTATCCTGGAAGTATAGACATGACCCTAATTAATCAGTTACTTTTATTTGCCCATTCCAACCACTCCAGACCTGTGACATATATGATCTGTCGCTCCAGTCCTGCCTGACACAGAAGTGATGGATGCAGGGGGCCACTGTTTCCTGCCAGGGAGTTAACTAAACCTAGTTTAGTGCTATCTTAAATGCCTGGGGCTTTGTGACACTTGAAATTCTAATTAGTGCAGGAAAGGGCTAGGTTGAAACAGCTTGTACTCCCTCAAGTATACCCACTCTCAGGGCCCTGTAACCTAATGAGGTCTGTGAAATTTAAGATCCAGAAGAGAAATCCCTGCCTGGAGCAACAGCTGTACCCAGGATGACAACGGGATTTGGGTTGTTAGTCCCTCCAGTTAGGAGGGAGAATACCCCCAAATGGTATGTGATGGAAACTCATGTGACACTGGACCAATTAGTTGTCCTAGAATTACTCTGGACTGACCCTCTGCTCTGGTTTGTGGCGATGTCAAGGAAAAGAAGGAGGGGTTCGAGTTAGAGATGTGAGAACTTACTCATTACCTACAAGGTGTGGTAGGGCAGGTGAGGTGGGGGGAGAGTTGGGGCAGTGAAAATCAGGATCCCAAGAGCACTTCCTCATTGCCCCTGCAGGCTGGACAGCTGGAGGCAGACAAACAGACCCACGACTCCTAAAAGAGCCCCCACAACGGAAAAAAGGGGTTCTTCTGCTACGACTTGGCAGTGCAGTAGGAGCGGGCTGAATGCTTGCTGAACACATTTGGAAAAGGAAGAGAGGAGATAATCGTCCTAATGAATGTGCAGGAGACAATAGCAGCTCCAGTGGGAGGGTTATAAGCTCATTATGGTTTAATATGATGATTGATCATCTCTGCCCGCCAGCATTATCCTAGAATAGTGATGAAGGTCGGAGAGACCCATGCCTGTCAGAGTGCAAGCTCTAGTCCCCAGAAGATAGAAAACATACTTGAGGGTCACATTTTTTTTCATTGTAAAAATTCATACACCTGGCCCCAACACCATAACTCCTTTCCATGAAAAAAGTCCTCCACCCCCTGCCCCAGTTGGCCCCAATTCTCTATGGTTTTTCATCCCTGGGCTGTTTCTCCACCTCCCTCTTCACCAGTTCTGGCTGATCTTCTCCCTAGTGACCCCACCTCATTCCCACCCTCTGAGAAAATAGCCACAGCTTCCAGTGCAGCACGGGTTTAGGTAGGTCCAAAGGCCCTTCAGTGGGTACTGGCCGACACTCGGTTCAGGTGGAAGGCCCGGGAGACCTCCCGATAGGCATTTCGAAGCAGCACATAAGGAAAACAGGACTCCAGCATGTCCAGGGTCAGGAAAGAGGACTCCTCCACCACCTGGAAAAGAAAGGGCCAAGGGAGATGAGGACCCCAGGTGGAGCATCCACTGTGACACCCTGTTCCTCTTCATTTGGTTCCCTGGGCCCTCTGAGGCCCTTAGAGTTACAAGTAAATGGGGTACCAAGGCACTTCTCACTTCGTTTCACTCTCAGAAAGCAATGTTCTCTTCAGCTCCATTATAATGACCCCTGTGCCCCTCCTCAGGGTTATATGCAGGGCTCAGAAGCAGAAGGCAGGGAAGAACCACTTCTCTAGGGCAGAAAAACTCCATTCTCATTCTGGATGCTAAGTGAGATGTGAGTGGGCAGCACAGATGCAGGTAAGAATGCATAAACGTGCTAATGACAAAGCTCTATGGAGAAAAAAACAATTACCACTGCAGGCCAAGCAAGAGGAGCCCTGGAACCCACACGGTTTAGTCTCCTCCCTCCCTTAGTACAGTGCTTGGGGAACAGTATGGATGCTGTATAAAGGAGCAGGCATGATTAATTAGTTTAATTAGAAGGCCTGTGTGCTGTGGAAATCCCTGCAGCCCCCACAGCCAAGCAGAAAGATAGATCAAGATGCCTGAGTAAGACGGAGGGTAGGGGGCAGGGAGATATTGTCGTAGAGCCGTACAGCCTAGTCTTGGATAGGAGGGTTTCCTTCCCTGAAGAAGGAATGGGGTGTCTTTCCTTCCATACTCTCCTCAGCCAAGAGGCTGTGGGACTAAAAAACACTCTGGAGAGAAGTGTCCCGTATCCTCTGGCAGTTCACACAGATGGGCCTTCCCAAATATGTCTGGGGTTTCAAGTCCTGAAAATTCACTCAGGAAAGAGATCTACCATCTCTATTGTAACATTTTTCTCTCTCTGAAGTCCTTTCAATTTTTAAAATTTGTAAGGTGCTGCAATACTCAAACCATGCACACACAATCCACACAACAGCCTCAGAAGAGAGGACACCACAGGCTGGAGGAGAGAAAATCCACCCGTAAAAACTGTAGCTCTGATCTCAGGTTGGATGGCAGAAAGAATTTCTTGCTAAGCAAGATTTTCAAAACCTTAAGCCAGTAAAGAGATAAGATCTCTTTCCCAGGATATGACCCTGGGGTACGGGGAAATGAGTGATGGCTTCAAGAAGGATCCACTGGTCCAAGACTTCTATTCTCTGCTCTGTTAAGCACAGAAAATCACAGGGCTCCCAACTGGAGGAAATTCACAGCAGTGGAAACAGCTCGGGAGTGAAAGCCAAGAAACAGGTCCTAGTCCCAAATCTGCCCATGTATTTTGGGGGAGACCTTGGATGTTATCTCTCCCTCCCTCTCCTCGGTTTCCTCACCTAGGAACCGTGAGGACTGGACTGTCAGCATCTGATCTGTTTCTGACACCTAGGATTCCATGAGTCTATGAGAGAGTCATTCCTTCCCCCGTGAAACCCACACCAGGAAGTCTGACAATAGTGGGGGTGGGCACTGCCCAGGCTTGACAGCCAAGACAGACCCTAGGGAGAGAAGTGCCTGAACAGGATTTGGGGCTACATGAATAGCCTCTTTACGCAGAACACAGCTCCTTCCCTTCAGTCATTTCCAATTTCTCTGTGGAAACATTTGCATTTAAATTGCTTTGCAGCAGCTAGTCCCTCAGTCTCTTCCCTCCTACAAAAAGTGCCCCGGTCCTAGGGCTGTTTCAGCCACTCTGCAGGCCTGTGATGCCACGAGGGGCAGACACCTTGCCACACTTGGGGGGGGAGGGGGAAATGCAAAGCAGAGGGAGGAGGCAGGGCTAAGCAGCTGTACAGAATCACCTCCAACCTCACAGAGGTAGAAACTATCCAAGGAAATGGAACAGGCATGCCTAAATCATCAAGAAACTAAACTGAGCAGCAGAGAGGGGCAACATTTGTTTAGCATCTATTATGTACTAGGCACTTTTATATAAACTGTCTCATGAATCCTCACCCCTCTAGCATAAGGATGTGAAAGTGAAAGTTACTCAGTCATGTCCGACTCTTTGTGACCCCATGGACTATACAGTCCACAGAATTCTCCAGGTCAGAACACTGGAGTGGATAGCCTTTCCCTTCTCCAGGGGATCTTCCCAACCCAGGGATCGAACCCAGGTCTCCCACATTGCAGGCAGACTTTTTTTTTACCAGATGAGCCACAAGGGAAGCCCAAGAATACTGAAGTGGGTAGCCTATCCCTTCTCCAGCATATCTTCCTGACCCAGGAATCGAACCAGGGTCTCCTGCGTTGCAGGTGTATTCTTTACCAAGAATCCCCTGAGCTATCAGGGAAGCCCATCATAAGGATAACTGCCCACTTTTAAGGCTAAAGAATCAGAGTCTCAGAAAGGTTAATTAACTTGCCCCGGGTCATGTTGGGCTTCCAGGTGGCTCAGCAATAAAGAATCCGCCTGCAACGCAGGAGCCACAGGAAACTTGGGTTCTATCCCTGGATGGGGAAGATCCCCTGGAGGAAGGCATGGCAACCCACTCCAGTATTCTTGCCTGGAGAATTCCATGGACAGAGGAGCCTGGCAGGCTACAGTCCATGGGGTCGCAGAGAGTCAGACAGGACTGAAGCGATTTAGCATGCACACACACAGAGGTCATACTGCTCTGAAGACTCTGCTCTGTCGCCTTCCTTCGGCCCTCCTTGGCCTCCTCTGCCCTCTCACCTCCTCACCACACCCCCACAGCCTCATGTCCATTCTCTTTTCTTCCTCATCATGACCCTTAATCAGCCCAACCTAGGCCTTTTCGAGCTAGAGAAGCTGAGACACAGATAGCACTCAGTGCCTGTGTACTTAAAGAAGGAGACCCAGAGGGAGTCCCAGGCATGCCCGCCCCTAATACTTGTGGGCCTGGCCAAGAGTGCAAATGGAAGCCCATATACCACATGATAAAATATTATATTCTTTCTTGCAATATTTGCAACATGTATTCATCCCTCAATATCCAAGGGCACTGGCAGGGGATTAGTTCCCAGACCACCTGTGGAACCAATTCAGGGGAGAGACCAGAAACTGTAGATGCCCAAGTTACTTTTATAAAAGGCATAGTGAGCGTGAATGTGAAGTCACTCAGTCGTGTCCTACTCTTTGTGACCCCATGGACTGTAGCCCACCAGGTTCCTCTGTCCATGGAATTTTTTAGGCAAGAGTCCTGGAGTGGGTTGCCATTTCCTTCTCCAGGGGATCTTCTCAACCCAGGGACTGAACCTGGGTCTCCCGCATTGCAGGCAGATGCTTTACCATCTGAGCCACCATGCAAGCCCAAAAGGCATAGTACCTGCATATAACCTATGATATCCTCCCATATTCTTTAAATCATCTCTAGGTTACTTATAATACCTAATACAACATAAATGTTATGTAAACAGTTATAAATACCATATAAAGGCTATGTAAATAGTTGCTGGTGTGGGCAATTTGAAGTTCTGCTCTATGGAACTTTCTGGAATGTTTTTTAAAAGTTTCAATCCATGGTTGGTTGAATCCATAGCTGAGAACCTGTGGATATGGAGGGCTGAGTGTACCTTTACAATTTCATGGAAGACAGGTTTGAATTAAAAATTCTTAGACCCCTCAGAGTTCTGTACCAGAACAGGGAGAAGGGAGGGAATCAGCCTCCAGCCTGGCACCCTTCTCCTCCCACCCCAGTTTCGGGGGTTTATAGACACACATAATCTTCCCGTCTGCACATCTAAACTCCAGCCATACATTCCATGGGCTCCAGAGCACAGTCTGCCTCAGTAGGATGGACTCGAGGAAGTACAGTACAAGCTCTACATGTGGGCTGGAGCTGCTCAGGAAAGAATTCTGAGGCCCGAGAAGTCTTTAGGGGGGGCTCTGAGGTGGGGCACAGGCTCCAGGTGGGCCTGTCCTCTCCCCACAGGCCAGAGGAAGGGTCGCTCAAACCCAGGGCCCAGAGCAGGAGCCCCTCCTGCCCACCTTTAAGTGCAGAGATAACCTGGGGAATCAAACTTTAGAACAAGAGTGAGTAACCACGTTGAACAGGGAAACGGGATCAAGAGTAACAGATTTTTTAAAAGTTAACTGAGTCAGAGTTCCCAGAACTTTCTACCAAAGAAGGGGAAAGGCCAGAGCTTAGGAAACAGAAGAGATAGCAGGAGCTGCCTGATTCGTGTCCCACCCAGTTCCCTGCCTTACAGATTTTCAGCTAAAAATCCCTTCCCTCTTCTGGGCTCCTCTCCTCCTCCCACAGTTATACTCCCCCAGTTGAACCTTCTTCATGGTTCTCTTAAGGACAAGAAATACAGCTGTAGGAAGTGGCCAAGTAAAATCAAAGATGCACTGGACAGGTAGTTATGGATGAGGGACATCCCCATCCATGAGCTCATCCCCATGGTGGGGGTGAGCTGTCCCACCATATCAGACTCAAGAACACCGCAGGGAAAGTGGCCCAGTCAGCTAGGGGCCGGGAAGACACTGTCCTGCAGAGAAATCCTCAAAGACGCTACCTTGGGATGACAGGACAAGTCTAGAATGTTAACCAGAATGTGAGGGTTAGACCCCTTCAGGCAGAATTAAGCTCTTAGTTAATGCTTTCGGGTGATAACCACGGTAGGAAGCCAAAGACCCTATAGAGGATCCTCCCTCTGGCCCTTCCTCTAGACCAGCTTAGAACAGATACATACCAAGCGCATGAGCAGAGAAATGGACTCCCGGTTTCTGGTTTTAAGCTTGTCAGTCTCTTGGCCCAGCTGCAGGAGGCTGACAGAAGCCACCTGTAAGGGAAAAATTTGTAAGGAAGCAGATTTTTATGAAGGTCAGAGTAGGACAGCCTCAGGCTACAGGAAGTCAAGAGCAGATCAAGGAGGTGAGTTAAGAAGTGCTAGGAGGCTCGGAGTGGGAAAGCGGTGAATCCCCCACAGGCTTCAGAGACACACGCTGCCTCCAAACTAGCCAGTGCAGACAACAGGCGGTTGCCAAGGATGCTGGAGGAGAGGTAGTAAGAGGCGAAGAAAGAAACTGCAACAGAGGCAGGTAATACTGTATGCCAAGAGATTAATCTCTTTTCCGAGGCGGCCTCCAGACACCACTGTCATCAGACTGTTTACAGCTGACTCCCCACCCGACTAGAGACAGAGCTGGGCCGCTGACTCAGACACAGTGCTTTTGGTATTCTCCTTCTGTCAACTCCCAAATGGCTGTCCTCTCCGTTCACCTTCAGGTCCCCAGTAGATCAAAGAGAAAGAAAAAAACGTGACTAATTGCATCCCAGACCCAGGTTACCTGTGTTTAGCAAACAGAGAGGGTAACAGAGGCAGTAGGGGGTAACTCTCTTCTCACCCCATCTTAGAGGTCTGGTGTGAACTCTCTGTATATCTCAGATGCTCGAAGCCCATTCTGTCTGGTCTGCTATCCCAGTTGAAAGAGAGACCCTCTCACTAAGCTTCCAAGTTCCTGACATGTACTTCTTGGGACCAGGGTGGGATTCCCTAGAGAATATGATCTACTGTTTCCTCCTAAAAGGAGACAGATGAGGCTCTAGTCTTTTAAATCAGAGCTATGCTTTGCAAAAGAATAAGGTCCCTTCAAACTGGTATTCTGTTAACATCTAGAGGGATGGGAGGGAGTGGGAGGTGAGAGGGAGGTTCAAGAGGGAGGGGACATATGTACATCTATGGCTAATTCATGTTGATGTATGTCAGAAACCAACACAATATTGTAAAGTAATTATCCTCCAATTAAAAACAAATTAATTTTTTTTAAAAAAAGAATAAGCTCCCTATTGCTGAGAATGCTCAAGCAGTCAGTGGGCATTGGACCACGTATCAAAGAGTATGGATGAGATTCCTCCATGGAGGATTTAGAATGGAAAGCTCTGGGACCTCTTTGAACAATGGAAAGAGATTACTTATTCTGTGTTTTTCCAGAGGCAAAGCTTAGATCAATAGTGAGAGTTGCAGGGAGTCAAACTTCGGCTAAAGAATATTTTTAACAACTTCTTTCAAACAAATTGAACATAACCTACAGTAAAATCAGCTTCCTGACTGTGAATTCCAGTCCCTAGAAATCTAGACCAGGGGACTCTCAAAGTAAGATCCCAGGACCAACATTACCCAGGAACTTGCTAGAAATGCAAGATTTTCCAGCCCCACCATTAACCTACTGAATCAGAAATTCTCCACATGATTCTGATTCACAATGAAGTCTGATAATTTGAAAAAAGTTTGACTTTTTATCAGTTGTTAGAGTTGAAAGGAGCCTCATAGATGATAAAACTCAGTGTCTCAAGAGTCTATATTTTAACAAACTCCTCAGGATATTGTAATGCATACCAAAGAAGTACATCATGGATTTGGTTTCATATCTCTATTTAATAAGTGGGAAAACTGTGGCCTCAAAAGTTTGGCTTTTCAGAGACCACGCAACTTCTCAGTGGCAGATCCAAAACTAAACTCAGATTTGCTAACTCTTAGTCCAATACTCCTTCCAAGTATTGGGCAGAGGCTGAAATACCAGCTGTTAGGGAATTTAGAAAAAAACCCTGCCTTTCACAAAGCCGTCTCTCACTACTTAATAAATAAGATGGGAGGTTAGACTCTGAGGCCTGCTCAATAATAACTGTCTATGGATTTAAGTCAAACCACTTGCCACCAGACTTCACAATCTTCCATTCCTTATAACCTAGACACACTCACCACGAGAAATTCCTTGAGGTGAGTTTCAATGTTCTTGTTGTAGACTGTGAAGAGGGCAGCAGATACCTGGATGATGGCTTTGGTCAAGCAGTGAATATTGTTGCTGTAACCTAGATTATTATTGACAGAGGGGGAGAGAAAGGGAAGGAAATTGAACCACGCCAGGTGACCCCAACTGGTAAATTCCCATTTTTTCAGTCTGGGCCAGCCCTATGTGACACCAAAGGACTAGGAGCCATTCGAGGATTAGGAGAAAGATAGAGGGTCTGATAAAATTTCACCTGAATTTAATTTTACAGATTGTTCATTCTCAAGAGCTTTCTGAAACAGAACTTTGCATCTGAGTCAGAAGTGTGTATTTTCCAGATAGATGGCTCGGTCTCAAAACCTCCTGATCCCAGGACACTAGCCTAAACCTCCTCCTTACTTACCATCCTTCTCAATGCTGTAGAAGGAGGCAGCATCCATGGCAAGGAGGGGGAGGGAAACGGCCAGAAAGATCAAGAGCAGGCAGGCCACCTTATATTCTTCCTCAGGGGATGACAAATCTGGGAAAAGGAAAAGAGAGTAATGTCAGTAAACAGGAGCTCTCTTCCACAGGGTCCTACTTCACAGAATTCCTAAGAGGGTCACATGAGAAAATATCTGTGAAAAGACTTTGTAGAGCGTTATAGGCAAGTCATTACTGCTGCTAGTGAGAGGCCTGAGTCCCAGAGGCTTCCACTGGTGACTGAGCAGAGCTTTTGGCAAAGGGCTCAGCTGACACGCAGGCTGAGGGCACTCTGTCAGCTGCCTGACAGAGTGGAGAGGCAGGAAGGAGAGGAAAGATTCTCATCAAAACTGAGAGAGAAGAGGGAGAGCCAGTCTGGCAATTCAAAAAGGCTTCATACCAACCCCCTGGTTTCATCCTATTCGGAGTGTGTGCAAGTATGAATGTGCTAATCAGAGGAAAAGTGTAATGGAAATATAAGAGACAAGTGTGAGACCAGGGGAAAAAGTGAATGGTGTCAAGGTGATTAGAGGGGAGAGGAGAAAGTAAGATCATTCTGGGGAACTGGGACACTATATACCACATAACTAAGCATGAAATCATGTCTGGTTCTCTCGCTGTTTCATCTGCATTAATCTTATTTCCCCAACCAGATTGTAAGTTCCTTTGAGCACTTGCTGAGTACCAGACTCGCTTAATACTTTTCAGCTGATTGACAGATCAACTGGTTGGAACCTGACTAGAAATCAAAATTGCCTGTGGAAATATTTTCTGGAGATTAGGGACTGTGCTTTAAGTCTTTCCTTAGCTCCCAGTTTCTACCCTCTGAATTCACAGTCCCAAATAAAGACTTCTTTGACACTGACATTTTCCCACCCCAAAATAGGGCCCAGGCCTTCCGTCGCCCCTGTTCTCCAGTCGTACCAGTTTTCAGATTGGCAATGGCAGCCACCAGGGCTGGATCAATGTCACAGTCCACCCCCGCAGCGGATGCCAGCTCAAAGATGCTCAGGGTCACCTGGTGGAGAAGAAAACAACAGTCTGGAGAGTATTCCCTGGAGAGAAGTACTTGGCAGAAGCTACAGGTGGTTAAGATCCCTGGATCACAGATTTTAAACTTTTGGTGTACTATCATCTTTTCTAGGTATTCCTTTCATAGATCTCCCTAACCTGTAGGGAAAAGAAAAAAAAAAAAAAATAGCCCAAGGCTTTAGCCAGGCCTTCAGATTCTCCAGAGCACAAATTCACTTTTCCAACTTTATTTCCTCAAACACTTCCTACAGGCAATGCAGCCAGAGAAATGTATTCACCGTCTCTAAGCTACAACTTACTTTCTCCTTTTCATACTCTGGTTCCTGCGTGTCCCTCTTCTGGAGTGTCCTTTCTTCTTGAGAGACCATAGGAAATATATTGGTCTCTGCCCCTGGTTCCTGACACAGGGCTCCTAAAACCCTTATAATTCCCTAAGTGATAAAAACAGTAGGAGCATTTTTTGTTCCTATGCAGCAACTCTGGTTGGGCTCCTGGCCAGCTCCTAGATAGAGGCTGGTCACCAGAGAGACCAAGCCTTGATTAGAAGCTGGGAATTTTCAGCTCCACGCCAGCCCACCCCCCACACCCACCCACTTCTGCAGAGAGAGGAGAGGGCCTAGAAATGGAGTTAATCATGCCTATGTGAGGAATCCTCCATAAAATCCCAACAGTGTGGGGTTCAGAGAGCCTCCAGGTTGGGAACACATCCACGGACCAGGAAGATGTTCAGCCCAAATCCAGAGTCAGAAGCTTATGTCATCAGGACCCTCACAGGTCTCACCCTGTGTATCTTTCCATATGGCTGGTCTGAAGGTAGAAGTGAGTGTTAGGCGCTCAGTCATGTCCGACTCTTTGGGACACTATACACTGTAGCCCACCATATCTCCTCAGTCCATGGAATTCTCCAGGCAAGAATACTGGAGTGGGTGGTCATTCCCTTCTCCAGGGGATCTCTCCAACCCAGGGATCAAACCCGGGTCTCCTGTATCGCAGGCAGATTCTTTACCTCTGAGCCACTGGGAAGTCCATATGGCTGTTCTTCTATATCCTTTATCACATCCTTTAATAAACTGGTCAATGTGTTTCCCTGAGTTCTGCGAACCACTCTAGCAAATTAATGGAACCTAAGGAGGTAGATATTGGAACCTCTCACCTATAGCCAGTTGGTCAGAAGCACAGGTTTGCAACTGGCTTCTGAATAGGGGGTGGTGGTAGGTGCAGACTTGTGCAAGAGAGCCCTAAACATGTGTGATCTGACACCAACTCCAGGTTGAGAATGTCAGAACTGAGTTAAGCTGCAGGACATCCAGCTGGTATCACAGGAATTGGTGTGGGGACATCCTCCAAACACTTGGTGACCAGAAGTGTCAGAAGTGAAATGTTCTATGTGAGAGTAAAGGAGACTCTCAGGAGAGAATCACACAGTAGGGGAGAACTGGGTTTTTCCGTAATAGGAAGGGAAAAAGACAAGTTTTTCCTATTTACTTCTCTTCTGCTTATATCCAACTGACACCCACCCTTGAGGCCTACCTTGAATCTCACATTCACTGTAAAGCCCTCCCTGTTGACTGCAGCTCATGCTCATCTTTCCCTCCTTAACTTGGCACCACTTACTCGGCACTGATCACAGGCAGCACCTAGTATCATTGGTTATCTTTTCAGATTGGAGGAAAGATGTATGGCTTATCTCACCAACAAGATTACAATATGTTTTTAACCTCATAAAGAGGGGAGAGAAAGGCCTGGAGTGAGAGGATCTGGGTTCAAATCCTAGCACCACCACTTACTAATTGCGTGACCTTGGCTAAAAGTTACTTAACCTCTCGGAGCCTCCATTTTCTCATCTGTAAAACTGGAATAAAAATACTCACCTTACAGAGTTGCTGTGAAGATTAAATTAGATCACATATGTAAAAGGGCTTCCCTGGTAGCTCAGCTGGTAAAGAATCTGCCTGCAATGCAGGAGAGACCTGGGTTCAATTCCTGGGTCGGGAAGATTCCCTGAAGAAGGGATAGGCTACCCACTCCAGTATTCTTGCCTGGAGAATTCCATGGACAGAGGAGCCTGACAGGTTACAGTCCATTAGATCACAAAGAGTCGGACACGACTGACTTTCACTTTCACTTTTTACATATAACACATCTACCCCTAATTGGGCTTCCCTGGTGGTTCGCCTGGTAAAGAATCTGCCTGCAATGCGGAAGACTTGGATTTGATTCCTGAGTTGGGAAGATCCCCTGTAGAAGGAAAAGCCTACCCACTCCAGTATTCTGGCCTGGAGAATTCCATGAACTGTATAGTCCATGGGGTCACAAAGGTTCAGACACGACTGAGCGACTTTCACTTTATTACCCTAATGACTCACAGAATCACTGAGAGACTAATAAACCTTGTCCCTTTCGCTCTGCTTCCTTTCCCTCAAAGCCAGGAGCTCTGCATTTCTTTCATCCTCTCTAAGTCTGAACACAATGCTAAGCACATAGAAGGCATTTAGTTAATGTTTATCGATTGACTCCTGTATCCCTCATTGTACTTAGAATCAGGTTCCCAAGATGTAGCTACAAACACCCACACCCAAAAAAGTACTCGGACTTTTGAGGTTAAGAAAAAAGACTTCAAAATGTTCTGAGAGAACAAGGATAACTGTTTTAATAGTAACTAAGTAGAGTATCTTATGCAAAGAACCCCACAGATACAACAGTAAACACACACCGCCTATCATGCTAGACACAGAAGCTCCACCCTGTTTAAATTCCCTACTAACTAAATAACCCTGCTAGTGGCAACCATGACCTAGGAGATTGGGGATTTGGTCCATAATCTGTGGTTTTCTGGAGGAAGAAGGTGATGGTTGAAGGAAACTTCTTCACCTTTTAACCTTCTCTTCTCATCTTCTCGCCCCTCGGAGGTAGTAACAGAATCTCTGATGGACAGGCCAGCCCCATCTCCACACACCTGCTTATCCTCTCAGGCAGGCAGAGCCTAAAGCTCAAAGCTGCCAGGAAGATACCAGCTAGACACACTCCTGACAGACCATAGCATTCCGCCCCAACATCAACAGCTGCCAGACACCCGGGGCCCACAGTGAAATCCAAGCCAGGGCCTGAAGGAGCAGCCATCCAGTGAAAAATCACCCCTTATGGCCCACGACCACTTGGCCCTCATCTGATTTCAGGCAGAGAGAGGGGAAATTTTCACGATTCTTCTGACCTCAAGGTAAGGGAAGCTGTTTTTTTCTCTTAGCATCTAACTACTTCCCATGGGGTCGCAAAGAGTCAACACACGACTGAGCGACTGAACAACATCTTCCTGTTAACCAATATCCTCTTCTCAGAGACTTCCCTCCATTAATGGAGTCAGTTATAAGAGAAGTACCCTGCCCCGTGCACTGTGCAGCTGTATTTCCTGCAAAACATACTTGTTTGCTTCAGGTGATTCAAAAGGCAAGCTGACGTGAGGAGGGGGGAGGGGAAACGGATGTTTAAATTGGGTGCTAACCGAGGTCCCTCCCCCCTTCCCCATGCCTATAGGAAATGAGGCCTGAGGCAGGTGACACACAGACAAACCAGAAAGTTTCAGAGCTAGGAGGAAGACCAGGCCAGAAAAGGAGAGGAAAATCTGAGGGCCGGCAGGGTGGGTGGGAATGGAAGAACCAAATTTTACAGAAAGTTCCCAGGCTCCTGACTAAAGAGGGGACTTGTCTGAACATAATTCAGAATCTAATTTGCACATCTTAGGAGAAAACCTATAGACACTATTATCCTTGCCCTTATTGCTCTCCCTCCAGTAACGTTCCCCAGCCCCCACAGGATCTCCCCAGGGCTTCCCTACTCTGAACTCTCTTCTCTGACCAAAACCCCTCCCTCCATAACACCTCCCCAGATATTTTTCTGTTGAAGACCTGGATCTTCTTCCTACGGTATTCTTCAGAGCCCACTCCTCCCTTCCAAGATCCTAGCTCTGTCCTTTGTCAACAACAGAAATCTGGTTGGATTCCACTTTGCATTCCCTGATACCTTGATATCTGTGTCTGGAGTGACAAACTCCTTCAGGCATTCAATGGGACCCATGAGAAATGGGCAGTGGGAGGAGAAAACCTGGAGGAAAGAAGACAAATGAGTCCAAGGACAGCGGCCAGCACCTTCAAACATGGGTGGAAACAAACAAAGCAAGACAGGTCCCCAGCTTAGATGAGAACTTAGCCAACTTTCTGTGTTACTTCCCTCCTCACACGTCCAGACTTCTTCAGCTCATCTATCCTCAGAGATCTTCCAGGACTTCTCCTTTCTCCACAGTGCTTACCAACCCTTTCCACAACTCCTCACACAAGCCCCACCCATGGCAGCCCCCGCCCCCACTCACCTCCCGAAGTCCCTCTTGGGCCATGGCCCTAAAACTGAGGATAACTCCAATGATGGTCATGCGCTTCAGCACATTATCAGCCCCTGAGGAGAAAGAAGAGCATGAGAGAAGAGAATGTGGGGAAATGGCAAAGGTTTTGCTTCTTCAGACCCAGCCGAGGCCTCATAGCTCCAAAAACCCTTGTGGTCCACAGTGTGTTTCCCACAGTCCCTTCTCCCTTTAGGGGATGTGCTCACCTGTCAGCTGGGGCAGCAGAGAAGCCATCAAGTCCGCCTTGTTGAAGTTGGATCTGATCTGAACAAGTATATCCATATTTTCTACCACCAGCTTCTGCAGTCAGGACAGAGACATTAAGCAAGAAAAGATGAGACCCATGGTACATCTTTCCCCAATCTCCTACTCCTACCCCACTTCCCCGGAGGCTGGACCTTCTTCCCGGGGCCTTGCATCCACAGTACCTTCAGCTCCACAATTTGTGAAGTCACATGCCACATCAGGTTTTCACTCAGGAACTTCATGCCGTACGGGCCCAAGAGTTCAGCCAAGGCCCGCATCTCTGGAATGGAGTTACAGACGCCCCAGGTAGGACCCCGAGGGCACTGGTGCATTTGCACAATAGCTATAGGATACTCTGAACATTTCTAATGTTTTTCAGCAAGGAAAGAAAATGGCAAGGAAGGGAAGTAGGGAGAAAATGTGGCCTGAAATCCTGCATTCAGGTGACAGGTCTGGCCTGCCTGTGGGACAGTTAAGCTTCTACCCACTGGTACTCACACCAAGATGTACCACAAATGATAGCTATTTATTTTTCATTCTTACAAGAATCTGGACTTTGCCAAGTCCCTTTGCCTGGTATCTGGGCTTTCCTCTTGCTGTGCTAGCTGCACTAGCTTTATGAGATGTAAGACCATCTCTGAGCCTCAGTTCCCTTCTCTGTAAAATGAAGAAATTAAAATCCACCCTGTATACCTCACAGAGTTGCTAGGAGAGCATAATCAACACACATCCCCATTATCCCAATTGTTTTTTCCTCTAAACCCTTCTTTCTTCCAGTCGGCTCCATTACCTTATCCCTCCCTAACTAGCCTGCTTCTGGCCCTTTGTGAATTAACTAAAGCCTGGCTGGGGAAATCCCATGTTAGAAACCTGAGGGACAAATTCAGACAGGAAAGTGCTCCAGCTTTGATCTCTGGCTATGGGCCATCCCAGCAGAGAAAACCATAAAGACCAGAAGTAACAAGAGATGAAGAAAGGAAAGGTGAGTTTAACCTAGTTAATAAGAGTTCAGAGGGAAAGGGAAGTTGAGGCCCCATACTCAAGGGTTTAAAGGCAGGGCCAGTTGATTTCCACTTCTGCTGCTGCTGCTGCTGCTAAATTGCTTGCCGTGTCCGACTCTGTGTGACCCCATAGACAGCAGCCCACCAGGCTCCCCCATCCCTGGGATTCTCCAGGCAAGAACACTGGAGTAGGTTGCCATTTCCTTCTCCAATGCATGAAAGTGAAAAATGAAAGTAAAGTCGCTCAGTCGTGTCCGACTCTTAGCGACCCCATGGACTGCAGTCTATCAGGTTCCTCCGTCCGTGGGATTTTCCAGGCAAGAGTACTGGAGTGGGTTGCCATTGCCTTCTCCGATCTCCACCTCTACCACTGACAAAAGCAGTGGAGCTGGTCACAGCAGCTGACAAGGAGTCTCATGTGGAATAAAATACTAGACATGTTTAGAGTCACCTATTTACAATAGGTACAACTGAGCTAAGAACTAGGAAAAGATTTCCTAACTGGTCACCTTAGATAATGCTAAAATGGCTGACAGGCAGAGAGGCTGAACTACCCTTTTTGGAGAAAAGACACGCTGATCCACCAGTTTGGATCCACCTTACTCTAGTCCTCTCTAGGCTAGTAACCCTAGGGCATCCTTCTCTATCCATCTATCTATTTTTGCAGCAGCACTGCCCCATCACCATGGTAACCTTGGGAAATTGGGGTGGGGGTGGTAGAAGGGGAAATCAACATTACCTCCTGCTGCTCATCAGTTGTCAGTAAGACCTAAAGCTGATTTTAGATGCTGCCTACAGCTTGTGGGAGGAGTTGATGAGAAGGGGACATCTGAAGCCTCCAGCAGGTAGAGAGTAGGGTCAGCTCACTGGTGGAGTCAGTGTGAGGGCAAGAAGAAGGCAGAGCTGGAGAATAGAGCTGCGTGCTCTGACCTCCATAACACCCCCTCCAAGGAAGGGGAAGAATGGAGGGGGCAGCATCACTGAAACATCTCCTACCTGTCTCAGATCCCATGCGGGGTCCATGAGAGGAAGGAGGAAGCAGTTGGATAGCTCATGAATCAGTCAGTAAAACAAATCTATTAAAAAGGATCTGCACGGCTTCAAGCCCTCTTTAAAAAGAGAATAACTTCCCAATTCATTCATGACACACTCCTCATCTGCCTGCCTTGAGACACTAAAGCACTTCTATACACTGGGAAGCAGCACGACAAAGTGATTAAGCACCTGGGTTCTGGAATTTGACTGCCTTGAGATGAAATTCCAGTTCTACCATTTATGAATGTGCAAACTTACGCTCCGTCACCTCTTGTGTCTCAGTGTCCTCATTTGTAAAATGGGGGTAATAACAACCTCAAGGCTGTTGTGAGGAGTGAATGAGTTAACAAATGTGAACATTCAGAACCTAGCCCACACTAAACGTCATCGGTTATGTCATCATCATTATTAAATATCAGTTATCTAAAATGTATCCCTCAGGAAGAAGATGCCATGACATCGGATCACTGTTTAATAATTCCAAAATCAGAATGTCCTTACATTTATCCTTTACCCTTCATCATATGTCCTACTCTCTACTCTTTGTAGAAATGGAAAATAACCATTTACTACCCTTTGGAGAGTAAGTCCTTTCAATGACTTGAGTGCCCCTGCCTAGCTCTTAACTCCCTTCATCCTCTGTCTCCACCATCAACCCCCAAGCTACTTCCCAGTTCTGGGTCTCACTTGAAATCTCTCCTATTGTCCCTAAGGTAGAGTCTAGCAGAGATCTAGAAGAGTATAGAATGAGGCTCGGGGAAGGTAGGAGAACATAGATGGGGTCCATCAGTTGGGATATTGTACCGAGGCGAAAGCTCGGCTCCTTGACAGGAGACCAGGCTCTGAGCTCACCAGAGACGTCAGAGAACTCCTCTGCGCTGAAGTTCTGCTCCCCCTCTCTGGGAAGGCTGATGAAGGCCTGCATGGCTGGTGAGAGGATGATGGTCCCGCTGCTTGCCTGTCTGAGCAGACTTTCTAGGTACCTACAGGGTTGGCCAAGAGAGCACAGAAGATGAGTGTTCAATCCCTTCCTCCTACCACCACCACTGGGCTCAGGAAGAGGAACTCCATGGAAGGCTGGGGTGGGGAGGAGAGACGGGGGTGGGGAGGAGAAGACAGTAAGCACTCTAATAAACATCCCAGGCTGCTGGCTCAAAAACAACTGGCAGTACCGTGGTTCCGCTTTGCCTCTACTCTGCTGGACATTGGCTGTGCTGTCAAATGTAATAGTGGACATGCCCCACCGCCTTTTCCAGCTATTGCACACCCTACACTCTTGGCCTTTCTCTGTCAGGTAAGACAAGCCTAAGCTGACAAGACAAAAATTCCTACTAATTGGGCTCCTCCAAAATATACTTAGCCCCAACCTCCTCAATGAGAGTGTTAGACTAAGAGCCTAGGAGCCTGGAAGTGAGTCTCAAGTCAGATCTCCTGGGCAGAGAGAAGCCCAGTGAACACTTGTCATCCAGTCTCCAAATATACCCTCCTGACCTCTGGGCAAACTAAGAAGGCTTCCAGCCAGTGAGAGCAGAGGGCCTGGTGACCCCTGTCACTCACCCAGGCACTAGCTCTAGGCCTAGGGCTCACAGAAGTCACAAGCTAACATGGGCAGGTCAAAACCAGCACTCAGCATGAGGTTTTTTCCCTTTTAATTTGAATTCGCTATCAAATTTTTAAAACGGAGATTTTATATTAAAAATAATAATTTAGTGAGGCAGCAATCAGATGGTTCTAAGTGGTGGCTGCCCCTTTAGAAGGGCATGCCCTTACTACTCAAAGTTCCCACCCAGCCCACAAGACCCATTTCCCTTACCTGCCAGGCCCAGCTTGATATATGTATTGCAAACCCTGTCTCAGGCTTACCCTCCTTCTCAGGGGGTTCTTTGCAGCCTGACTCATACTAAGCTGATATTGGATTAAGAGCGCCACCCAGTGGCTTAGGGAGGTAGGAATCCAGCTCCTTTCCATCCTTAAAACCTCAAAGGAAGTATTGCTGATTCCTGCCCCCTCCAGTTTGGGGGAGGAGGCCCCTTTCCCTATGAAACTCCAATATTCTTGCCTGGAAAATTTCAGGGACGGAGGAGCCTGGCCATGGGGTGGCAAAGAGTTGGACATGACTGAGCATATGCATGCATGCATAAGGACTACTAATAGTAGCCCACACATTAGGCTAGCCAGGGCACAGGAGTTACTAACTATAGTACTATTTGCTCAAGACCTAGGGGAAAACCTTAGAGTCACATAATAATGTTATGAAGAGATGAAAGTGAAGTAACATATTTTGTGCCTCTGTTAGTATGACATATCATAAGTACACAATCACACTTGTATTTTTTAACAATTAAAAGGATTTCATTAATGAGAAAATAGAAGCTCTCTGTTGGAAGATGAGGAGACAGTGCTCTGGAGAGAACGTATGAGACAGAATGGTCTTCAGAGGGAGAAGCTGGATGAAAAGAGAAATAAGAGAACTTCAGAAAGAGGAAGAAAGATCATTTGAAATGAAAACAGTAAGAATCCAGAAAAGAAAGGTCAGGAACTGCAGATGAAGAGGAAAGGGGCGGTTCAGTGGGTGTCACATGGAAGCTTGGAAAGAACCCTCATGGTGGAGAGAGGACATCTGAGTTTGCTCCAGCTTATAGCTCTAGTCCTTGGGCAGAAGCAAGCCTCCGTTTGGGGGTCTATGACCCTAGGAGCTAAAATGACTGGTCCCAAGGTCCTACCCTGTGAAGGAAAAAGTGCTAATGAAAAGAGTAAGGCAGTGAGAGAGGATAAACAACACTGACCAGTTTGTGTAGAGAGTGGTGATAGTCTGCTCCCCACACGAGTCCAGTGGCTGTGTCTGCTGCAGAAGGGCGTTGCGGATGACTCTGGACACATCTGCACCCAAAAACTGGGCCAGTGATTGTATGAAACTGATGTACGCTTTGACTCCTGCCAACAGCTCAGAAGGCCTGGCGATCTCCTGGGTTGTAGCATTGTAGCCAGCCAGCCACACAATGGCTCTGGGTAACAAAAACCATAATCACAGTCATAATGTCAAACATAGTAACAGTTATCACACTTATACTGTGTTCTAGGTGCTGTACTATGATTTAACTACACACATCATCTCATGTAAACCTCACAGCAACCCAAAAAGGTAGGTACACTTATCATCCCCATTTCATGGTGAAGAAACTGAGACACAGAGAAGTTCAAGTGACAGAGCCAGGACTTGACGCCAATAACATTTGATTCTCAATCACCATGTTCTTCTGCCTCCTCTAGGGAAATTAGATCAGTTGGTAAAAGATCTAGGCTCCCAAATGTCATCTAACTGTATGAGCTGTCTCATAACCTCCTGTATTCTCAGGGCCAGCATTTGTCTTTTCTCCTTGAAAAGAATTAGTTCCAGTCACTGTCAGAAATGGAAAACCACACCCAGAAATCCTTAGATGTGCAGTGCAATCCTGAGTGGCCATGGGATGCCAGGTGGAGAGAGAGTAGACCTGGCTGGCACGCAGCTATAGCGAACCTTGGAGAAGGAAGAAGAACTGTTAACACTGTATTATTTCAGGGGCACAACTGCAACACCCCCTCTCCCTTGGACTCCCAGACCCTCCCAAAATACCTTCCCCAGGAACCTGAGAATTCAGTTAGAGTCAGTCCTCTTCCTTTAGACTTTCTTCCTTGTTAAAATGTAAACAGGGGGCTTCCCTGGTGATCCCGTGTTTAAGATCCCGCCTTGCAATGCAAGGAACACCAGTTCAATCCCTGGTCCGGGAAGATCCTACATGCCGCAGAGCGACAGAGCCTGTGTGCCACAAGGAATGAGCTTTCACTCTTCAGCCGTAACTACTGAAGACCGCATGCCTGGAGCCCGGGCTCCACGACTAGAGAAGCCACTGCAGTGAGCCTTCACACCAGAACAGAGAGTAGCCCCCACTTGCTCCAACCAGAGAAAGCCCACACGTGTCAAGGGAGACCAGAAATTAAATAACTATAAAAACAACAATGATAAAACATGCAAACAGTAGGAGAAAAACGAACATCAGACCTTGTCAACACAAGCTTTTGTCAGTCATCAGCACATCAATATGAATGAGTCCATCAGGTTCTCCCTAAAGCCACAGGTGTTTGGGAGTTTTGTTTGCTTTGCATTTTTGGAAAAATGTTTATGGGAGGGGAGGGGAGGAACAGGAGCACCTGCTTCCTGGATGAAAAGGAGAAGGAAAACCACTTGAGGGAAAATACTACAGAAAGGACAGACTGGATGCAAGCCTAATCTATTTTAGAGTTCTCATTGAGGCTAAATCTTTAGGCCAACTTTGGGGCTTTAGGAGCAAGGATGTCAATGAAGAAAGTATTAGAGATGTTCAGGGAAAACTAAAATATCACACCCATGCTGCTCCAGGGCCTAGAAACCACTGCTAGTTTCTGAAGGTTCACACATGGATGATTATCAAATTGTCATCTTGACATTTTGTATGTGCCTGAGGCACTTCCTTCCATATAGCTAAAGTGTAAGGTATGAAAACAAACTAATTTTACTGTCACCAAGGCAAAAACCTAATTGAAAAAACAAGCCTGCCTCTCCTACAATCAAGGTCCAGGCGCCTAACTATTCTCCCCACTCTGTCCTTGCCCCACTAGGGCAGGGTGAACCTACTGAAATATTGAGTGAGATCGCGTTCCTGCTCTGCTCAAACCCTGCCAAGCCTCCCTGTCTCACTCAGAATCAAAGCCAAAGTCCTGCGGTGGCACAGAGGCATGAACATTCTGTCTGTCTACCATTCCTCCAGCCTCTCTGACCTCACGTCCTACCAGCTTTCCCCTGCTCGTACTGGTCTCCTCCATGTTCACTGTACATACCAGGCATGCTCCCACCTCAGATCCTTCACACTGCTGTTTCCTCTGCCTAGAATGTTCTTTGCGCAGACAGTCACCCACTTAGCTTTCTCAATTCCTTCAGGGAGTTCATTCAAATGTCACTTTCTCAAGCAGGGCTTTCTTGGCCACCCTATGTAAAATTCTACCACCACTGCCACCACTATACCCTTCCTATCTCCTTCTCCTGCCTTTCTAGCACTTATCATTTTCTAATCTAATACTACATATCCTATGTTCTTATTTTGTTTGTCTCTCCCATTAGAAGGAAACTCTATGCGGCCAGGAATCTTCATTTCTTTTGTATACTGCTGTATCAACAGCTTAGGGAACACTGCCAACACACAGTAGATGTTCAATAAATACTTTTTCAATGAATGTGTAAATATACTAGTATATATATTGTAAAAAGAAACACAGAAGACTAGCAGATTATTCATAAAAACGTTCCCTAATTTGCTGACTATAGCACCCAATTTCAGTTCCCTAATTTGCTCACTATAGCACCCAATTTCTTTTTTTTTTTTTTTGATGCTTTTTTTTTTCATTTATTTTTATTAGTTGGAGGCTAATTACTTTACATCATTGCAGTGGTTTTTGTCATACATTGAAATGAATTAGCCATGGATTTACATGTATTCCCCATCCCGGTCCCCCCTCCCACCTCCCCCTCCACCCGATCTGAAAGAGACACGTGCACCCCAATGTTCATCGCAGCACTGTTTATAATAGCCAGGACATGGAAGCAACCTAGATGCCCATCAGCAGACGAATGGATGAGGAAGCTGTGGTACATATACACCATGGAATATTACTCAGTCATTAAAAAGAATTCATTTGAATCAGTTCTAATGAGATGTATGACACTGGAGCCCATTATACAGAGCAAAGTAAGCCAGAAAGATAAAGACCATTACAGTATACTAACACATATATATGGAATTTAGAAAGATGGTAATGATAACCCTATATGCAAAACAGAAAAAGAGACTCCGATGTATAGAACAGACTTGTGGACTCTGGGAGAAGGCGAGGGTGGGATGTTTCAAGAGAACAGCATCGAAACACGTATATTATCTAGGGTGAAACAGATCACCAGCCCAGGTTGGGTGCATGAGACAAGTGCTCGGGCCTGGTGCACTGGGAAGACCCAGAGCACCCAATTTCAATACAAGGAATATTCCTGCAAATTTAGGGGGCAACAGAATGAGAGGCAAAGTGGGGGGAAGGGAACTTATTTCGTTGAGGCCTATATATGTCACTCAAGATTTTTTTTAATGCTCTGCCGATTCTCAATTACAGGTAATTCTCACAACAAGGTAAATATCATTATCTTTACTTTATAGGGTAGGAAATTGAGGCTCAAACAAGATAGATAACCTGCTCTGGTGTCTTAGCAAAGAGCATCAACACAGATCTGCTGACTGCAGAGGCCCCATTCACTCTACTAAACCAGTTCTGGTTGGTTATCAAAACAGCCTAAAAAGGTTTGGGGTTCTCTTCATTTATTTGTTTTAAATAGAGATGCCTAGGACCTCTGCCAGATTAGCTGCTTCAGAATGACCACCAAGATGGAGCTAATGGAACCCAACTTTGAGAACTACCATACTAAGCAAAGAGAAGACAAGGAAAGAGTGAAACCTGTTGAATCTGGCCTCCAGATGGCTGCTGAGATACTCAGAAGGGAAGATGGTGTGTTCAAACACAGAGAAGCTCTGTACATGATTCATTGTCAGTGCCAACTCCGTCAAGTTTAGGTGTAGCTTGTCCATGCTGGGGAAAATTAAGAAAGTAAAATGAGCCTCATTACAGGTCTGGCCCTGCCTGCTAGTAGCTGGGGAGGGTCTGTCAGGCCCATCATTCCTGGATCCCTTTCATCTTCTCAAAAAACTCATCCTAGAACAGTACACATTAATGCTGACTTCAAACGCAAAGGAGAAAATTCACATTGAATTGCTTTTCCATGTCTGTCATTCCCCACCACCACTTCCGCTCCCTTTTGCTAGCATCACTTTCTCTCTTCCCTGCCCTCCCTTCCTTGAGATAGCGCTGGCTGGCCTTTCAGGGCCCAGGGCCTCACTTGGTGACAATGCTGCGGTTTTTCCGGTGGCTCTCCGCTCCTGGCTTGTCCCTCTCAGGCTCTCCTTTTCTGGGAGCCTGCCTCTGCTTCATGGTTTTCTTGTTCTTGGCCTTGCTGATGGTAGTGGCACAGTGCTTTGGTAGAAGCTTTAGAAACAAACACACATGAATGGAAAAATGAGATTCCTTCCTCAAACTGCGTAGTAATCCATCTGACAGTTATTAAGTAGGTCCTTCCACTATGGCCTGTTCTTTGCTTGCTCTGCCTTTCTTTCTCTTTCCTTCCATGCATCTCTTTCTCTAGTGGGGGCTTACCTAGCATATGTTCACCTCTGTTAGTTTTCATTAAATATCCACCCGTGTTTAGCTTCAGAGTTTCAAGATGGCAGTGTCCTTCTGGGACCAGATCATCAATTCCCCCAGCCACTTCCTGAGAGAAAGTCTTTCCTAGTGGAAAATTTCTAGTAGAAACAATCTAAGAGCTCCACTCAATTGTGCTTTCAGGGGTCTTCCAACCTAGGAAGATGGTTTGTTTTTTGCTAGTGTGGAATTACCATCTCACTTGCTATATTCCTTCATAGCCTGTCCCATGGATATGGAACATGGACAGACACCCACACTACCACAACCCTCCAGAGGATCAGAGTTCACAACATGGCCAGCACTCTTCCCACTTCTTTTTTTATACAATTTTATTTATTTAATTTTGACTGTGCTGGGTCTTCGTTGCTGCACAGGCTCTTCTCTAGTTGTGGGGAGTGAGGGCTACTCTCTAGTTGTGGTGCTCAGGCTTCTCACTGTGGCGGCTTCTCTTGTTGCCGAGCACAGGCTCTGGAGCACTCAGGCTTCAGTAGTTGTAGGGCATGGGCTCAGTAATCGTGGCTCCTGGGCTCTAGAGCACAGGCTCAATAGATGTGGTGCACGGGCTTAGCTGCCCTGAGGCATGTGGGATCTTGCCAGACCAGGGATTGAACCCGTGTCTCCTGCATTGGCAGGTGGATTCTTTGCCACTGAGCCACCAGGGAAGCCCCCACTTCTTCTTTTTTTAAAAAATAAGATACTGCTTTTCTGGTAGGCGACCTGAGCTGACCCCTAAAAATGGTGCGCTATTCACTCGACCCAGAAAACCCCACAAAATCATGCAAATCAAGAGGTTCAAATCTTCGTGTTCACTTTAAAAACACTCGTGAAACTGCCCAGGCCATAAAGGGTATGCATATCTGGAAAGCCACCAAGTATCTGAAGGATGTCACTTTAAAGAAGCAGTGTGTGCCATTCCGTCGTTACAACGGTGGAGTTGGTAGGTGTGCACGGGCCAAACAGTGGGGCTGGATGCAGGGTCGGTGGCCCAAAAAGAGTGCTGAATTTTTACTACACATGCTCAAAAATGCAGAGAGTAATGCTGAAGTTAAGGGCTTAGATGCAGATTCTCTGGTCATTGAGCACATCCAAGTGAACAAAGCCCCTAAGATGCGGCGCAGGACTTACAGAGTTCACGGTCGGATCAACCCCTACATGAGCTCTCCCTGCCACATTGAGATGATCCTTACTGAAAAAGAACAGATTGTTCCTAAACCAGAAGAGGAGGTTGCACAGAAGAAAAAGATATCCCAGAAGAAATTGAAGAAGCCAAAACTTATGGCCCAGGAATAAATGCCGCAGAAAATAAATGCAAATAAAAGTAAAAGTGTTGGTTGTCTTAAAAAAAAAAATAAGATACTATATTTCTTGTTACTTAAACATCAATCCTGCATCGCTTCTCTTTAACAAGATACCCCCATTAGCCATACAGAAAATATAAGATAGAATTATATATTCAGATCTCTCCTTCAAGGTAATCACTCTCGAATTCTCTCCATTTAGTCCAGTGACACTGACTATGTGCAGAGAAAGACTGGAAACTCCTCATTTGGAATTACTCTTACAATAGGATAATAGCCAGAAGTAAGCTGGTCTTCTTACTTTATAGTCACAATTTGGTTTTTTTAAAGTTCAAGTTCCTACTATTTCCAAAAAAATCAGGTCTACCTTGATGGGCAAAGATGTGTCAACCTTGAAATTATGCAAAAGGGTCTGTGGGTAGATTCTGAAAGTAATTCCAAAAAATGTAACTCCAATAGTAATGCAACATCATTAATTATTTATTAAAAATGACATCTTTGGAGGGGCCAATATTCATTTGCAAAAGTTTTGTTGTGTGTGAAAATAATACTCACATTATGTTTTAGTCAACCCTGACCCAGCACTGAGCAAATATCTTTAACTGTGTGCTTTTGCATATATAGTAGGTATTCAAGTTGAGTGATGAATATACCCATAATTGTACTTGTTTACCTATCTTCTTTGCATTAATTATTTAAATGTCTTTCAAACATGTATTTGTACTCCTTTTTCCCTTAAACTGGAACATTCCCCAAGGGCCAGAATTGTGTACCTTTCCATCCCAAAACCCCAGCACAGGCCTTAGTGCCCAATAAATACCAAATAATAGAGCAGCTAACATCTATTGAGAATTACATACCAAATATTTAACATACTCTATTTCATTTCATCTTAATGCTACTTCTACTAAGAAACTATGTTTATCCACATTTTATATATGAGAAAATGAGAAGGTTAAGTAATAATATAACTGGGCATATGTACACACACACACACACACACAAACCCTGACTTCCCTCCTACCAAAGTTGCTACAAAGCCTGACTCAAACCCAGAAAGCCTGGGTAGTCTAGGAAACCTGAAGGACTCCAGGGCAACAGCAGAACGAGTCCCTCATTTTCAAATGTTCTATAAATTTAGGTTGAGCTAATCATGACCAGGTGCTATGAGTCAGTCAAGGGAGGGGAGGGGAAAACAACAGACAAAGACATAAAAGCAACCCGGAGGATAAACACAGAGGAGGTGCCTGAAAATGTTCAGATAGCTACAGATTAGGGTGCAGATGGACAGAACAGTGAGACAAGACAGGTGATCTGGGGGCCGCTGTTCTAAGTATGTGTACACAGGGCAGAGAGAGGAGGAGAAGTAAATGAGAAAGTTAACTCATCTCTTGAAACTCTTTAGATGAAAGACCAGATTTTGCTGAAGTGCAACTGTTCAAATAAGGGTATTTTTAGACACTTCTATCAAGTCCCAAGGGAGTAAAGACTAAAGGGATGACACTAAGAAAAGAAGCCTGCCATAAACTCATGAATACAAAAGCCCTAGCCCTACCTGAAAGGCTTAGAGAATTTGGTGTTTGAGAAGAAGACAGAGGCAGATAGAGGGGAAGGCACGGCGGAGCAGCAGAGGGGAGACTGAAACAGAGGGGGCTGAACCTACCTGCTCACTCAGGTTCCGCTGCTCAGCACAGATCTCCAGGACACAGTTGCTAGTCTGCTTGGCCAGCTCTTCCAGGAAGGAGTTGCAGTGATGAAGGCCGTGGTTCTTCAAGTGAGGGTACTGTGGGAAAGAGGACCCAAGGAAGACAGTGTCATCACCAAGACAGCCATGTCTTCCACATAATACTGTTCTAACCCCAGCCTGAGCCACCCACTTCTACAGAAGAAGAAAATGAGACCCAGAGAGAGGACACACTGCACATAAAGCTGAGACATTTAGGGACTTGCACCAGATATCTATGGGGCCAAAAGATACCCAGGTATCGATGGGTACCCTTCCTGGGGCCAAAATCAACCCCTGAAATTGTGTTTTGAGGGAATAATAATGAGACATGGTTAGAGAGATGACAGGGTTTGGAGCTCAGGACACTCACCTCCTCTGGGCACATCTCATGCGTGCAGTGGACAAAGTGAGCACAGATCAGGGGGAAAGCAATGGCATAACGGAACATGGCAGGTTCCTCCAGGGTCACAGCAAACATCTTCTCGAAGGTACGGAGATGAAAGCTATGGAGCAGACAAGGAGACTCAGAACCAGGGTTTAGGAACTGGTTCCTCTGAGGTGGAGAGAATATTGATTCTTTTGACAGAAGTTTTTTTTTTTTTTTTATTAGTTGGAGGCTAACTACTTTACAATATTATAGTGGTTTTTGTCATACATTGACATGAATTAGTCATGGATTTACATGTATTCCCCATCCCGATCCCCCCTAAACTTTTTGCTTTGTATTGGTGTATAGCCAATTAACAATGTTGTGATGGTTTCAGGTGGACAGCAAAGAGACTCAGCCATACATATACATGTATCCATTCACCCCCAAGCTCCCCTCCCTAAACAAATATTTATTGATATTCATCCCTCCCTCTTTAAATTCCCTACTCTTAAAGTAGAGAGAAGTTTCTCTCAAGAAACTCAACCCTTTCAGTCTTTTTTTTTTTTTAACTGGATCCCAGGGCAGGTTAGTGATGTCTCCTTCCCTTTTCTTGTACAAAATTGCTATTTCTTCCTCAGAACCTCTGCATGATTTCAGCCCTGATTTAGAAGTCTCTCAATACTACTAATTCACATCCCTCCCCAAATTTGACACTCAGGCTCCAGAAAACTTTCTCATTAATTCCATGAGACTGATATTTCCTCAATCCTGTATCCTTTCAACGGCATGCACATTTGCCATTATTATGTCCTTTTCACATGTGGGTATTATATGTTCCCAACCATGCAGAATGCAGACAGCAGAGCCAACATACTATATTGTATTTTTGATTCCTCAAAGGGTAGAGTTGTGCACAACAGTGGTCACTGAGTAAAGGCCAAATGATACCTAAGTAAGACAAACTTATGTGCATTCTCTAAAGGCCCTGTTCCCCAGCCCTCCCAATTATTTTCAGTCATCTCCACTAAATTTCCACCTTTTCCATGTCTCTTTTAAATCACAAGGTCCAAAAAAAAAAAAAAGATGCTAAAGAAGTTTCCAAAGATAACAGTGAAGGACAGACGATTGATGAATTATCCCAGAGAAAGCAAGACTGTGTGAAGTGCAACTGGCTTTCCTAAAGAAAGCCAGCACAAAAGGGAATCAGCTTCAAACTCCTACCACTTGATAAGATCTGGAATGAAGAAACTGTGGAGTTACAGCATCTGCCTCTAAGGAGATCTCAAAGAAAACAAGTCTTCCCAGTGTCTGGGGGAATTAGAGTGCTCCATAGAGGCCAGGCAAGAGATTAGGTCAACTGATAAAGAGCTCAGGACATACCAGAAAGTAGATAAATCAGAAGTTTCCACCAGCATATTCTCTACTGAGTCCAGCATTCGGGAGTGAAAGACAATGAGGTTCATCACCTTGGCTAAGTCTGGGTTCTCATATAAGTGCAGGGGAGCCTTAGCCACACTGGTATATGCCTATGGTTGGAGGTGGGAAAAGGGGGGAGAAAACAAGATAAATGAAAAAGACTCCCCAGTCTTGGAACTACAGTTTGACTGGGATTTGTCCCATCCAATCAGCAGTTTTTATTCCATACAGCAGAACTTTGGAGTTAAAAAGAGGAGGAAGGGGAGCTTCCTAGTGGTTCAGTGACTCAGTGGTAACGAAGTCATCTGCCAATACAGGAGACACAGGTTTGATGCCTGGTCTGGGAAGCCCATGCGCCACAATTATTGAGCCTGTGCTCTAGAGCCTGGGAACCACAACTACTGAAGCCCATGTGCCCAAGAACCCGTGCTCTGCAACAAGCGAAGCCACTGCAATGAGAAGCCCACGCACCACAACTAGAGAAAAACCCATCCAGCAATGAACATCCAACACAGCCAAAAAATAAAATAAATAAAGTTCTAAAAAAGAGAGAGAGGGGATTGTGAGGGAGGAAAAAGCTTGAGAATGGGGAACCATTAGCAGAAACAGACCTACCTGTAGACGGAACCAGTCCAGTCTCAATCCAGAAAATTCAAATTTCTCTCCATTATCAACTGCAAGAAATACAGAAGTTTAAAAGGAAACAATAAAACAGCACCTCTATCCAGTGGCATGGAATGGTAGGTTCTCTTCAAAGTCATCTTGGCTACTCCCTGGCTCAAGAGACCCATATTTCTAGAGAAAAAAATGTTCGCCTTCACTCTTTCTCCCCCGCTTCCCTCCAGTTACCTTGTTTGAGATTCAGAGAGGAGAGAGTACTGACGAATGAGGACATTATGATGGACTCCTCCTCAGGACACACAGACAGGTTCTAAAAGAGAAGGTGGGGCCAAGGGAGCATAAGTTCCACCAGGAGAGAAACGAGGCCCACAGGGCTTGGCCAGTGTACGAAGGAAGAAGGAGCTGCCAAGTGTCATAAACAAGCAAACCAAAAAGAGGCAAGCAGAGCATGGCGGAAACACCCTGAGTTCAATGCTGACATCCAACTGCCTTTATTTTCTCTCCTGTTAGCATCACTTGGGAGGAAAATTACTAAGATTATTAGTCCTTTTGGTAAAATTTTAACAAATGTAAAGGAGGAAATTGGGCTTTTGACACACCATCTACAGAGCATGAGATTCAGTCAAGGTGACCCCCAGAGAAAAATGACCAGGGCTCACCCCCAAATTTTCAAAGTATCATCAATTAAACATACTTGAATGATGTCACTGAGCACAAGGGCATCAAATCTGGCCAGGTACTGAAGGTGGTACTGCTGAATCACCTTGATGTGTCTTCGGACCAGAGCCCTAACTTCCTCCAACAGGAAAAGCAGTTCTGCAATGCTCCTACAAAGTCGAGCATGAGAACAGAGAGCAGTGTGAGACTGAAAACATGACCTGAGACAAAGACAGTGACAACGGGGCAGAAACTGAGACCCCCCGAGGTTATCCAATGCACCGCTCCCCGTCCCTTTTCCCAGTCCATCTAAAGTCGAGATTCTTAACCATGCCAAGAACTAACGAGTCAACGTAGTCCTCAGGCGTCTTCGTCTTGGTGACATTTTCTGTGTGGCGAACCAGCCAAGTGACTTCATCACGAATGAAGGACAGGGCCATGAAAGCAAAAAGGGCCTATGGAGGGGACAGAGACTATGAGAATTTTCAACTTTAGAAATGAATTTGAAAGCACAGAGAAAACTATCATGAAAATGTGCTTATAGATACAACTGTGTAGCCATACCGACAATAGTGTCCAACATTAAACACAGAGACCCACAAAAAAAGCATTCTACGAGAATCAGACCTCTACATACATTGACATTAGCTCACAATACCACCTTATCAAATTAAATTTTAGAAATATTTACTAGGTCAATACCACCTTATCAAATTAAACTTTATAAATATTTACTAGGTCAATACCAACTTATCAAATTTTAGAAATATTTACTAGGTATTTATGTGGTTTAAAAAAAAAAAGCAAGCTGTCTTTAATTAGCTCACACTCAAATAGAGGGTAAGACAAGTACACAAATAACTATAACATATGATACTATATGATAGTGCCCAAAAGAGAGATACAACAAGTTTTAGGGTACTCCAAGAAGATTCAAGGGAACCACCATATACACACACAAACAGAACAAAAAACTTAGAAATGCAAAAACTCAGGAATGCCAAATCACGCTTCCCTTCCTCTCTTTCTCTTGCCTTGGGACCCAGTAGTCCTGGTTCATCAGTTAACACAGTCTCCATCTCCTTCACAGCTATTCGCAGAAACTGGCGCCGCTGAGAGTGAAACTGGCCACTGAGGAAAGAAAGCAGAAGCTAGAGAATATTGCCCCTCCTACCCTCAAAAATCCTCCAAATGCAAAGCAGAAGAGATCTACCTTTAGGAAGGGGTGTCAGCTAGGAGGAAGTTTCAAGGCCACAGTTAGACTCAGTAAGGAAAAACAAGACCCTGTGGGGCAACAGCGAGTTCTTGGGTTGAAACAATAAATCTGTACAGAAATAGCAGTGGCTTGGGTAACAGCAAAGGTCAGGAGAGATACCTATTCCATCCCCTCTGGAAGAGCTCATTCTTTGCCTTTACCTGTTTGCAATTGCATGTTCCTTGCTTTCCTTTATGTCGGCCACTCGCTTGCCATACCTGAGAATTGACACAAGCACAAAAGTGTTGGCCACACCTCCAGTTAGAGTCCTTGTCCCACCTTCCCAGTCCTCAGAGATTCCAAACTACAGTCTGCAGGAAGCATGGGCAGCGCTCACATTCAGGATCTTTCTAAACACTACTTTCAACCCCAGCCTACTAATAAGAGACTCATGTCACTTCAGTTCAGTCAGTTCAGTCACTCAGTTGTGTCCGACTCTTTGCGACCCCATGAACCGCAGCACACCAGGCCTCCCTGTCCATCACCAACTCCCACAGTTCACCCAAACCCATGTCCATTGAGTCAGGGATGCCATCCAACCATCTCATCCTCTGTTGTCCACTTCTCCTCCTGCCCTCAATCTTTCCCAGCATCAGGGTCTTTTCAAATGAGTCAGCTCTTCACATCAGGTGGCCAAATATTGGAGTTTCAGCTTCAACATCAGTCCTTCCAATGAACACCCAGGATTGATCTCCTTTAGGATGGACTGGTTGGATCTCCTTGCAGTCCAAGGGACTCCCAAGAGTCTTCTCCAACACCACAGTTCAAAAGCATCAATTCTTCTCACTCAGCTTTCTTTATAGTCCAATTCTCACATCCATACATGACTACTGGAAAAACCATAGCCTTGACTAGACAGACCTTTGTTGGCAAAGTAATGTCTCTGCTTTTTAATATGCTATCTAGGTTGGTCATAACTTTTCTTCCAAGGAGTAAGCATATTTTAATATCATGGCTGCAATCACCATCTGTAGTGATTTTGGAGCCTAAAAAAATAAAGTTAGCCACTGTTTCCACTGTTTCCCCATCTATTTGCCATGAAGTGATGGGACCAGATGCCATGATCTTAGTTTTCTGAATGTTGAACTTTAAGCCAACTTTTTCATTCTCCTCTTTCACTTTCATCAAAAGGCTCTTTAGTTCTTCCTCACTTTCTGCCATAAGGGTGGTGTCATCTGCATATCTGAGATTATTTATATTTCTTCTGGCAATCTTGATTCCAGCTTGTGCTTCATCCAGCCCAGCATTTCTCATGATGTACTCTGCATATAAGTTAAATAAGCAGGGTGACAATATACAGGTTTGACGTACTCCTTTTCCTATTTGGAACCAGTCTGTTGTTCCAAGTCCAGTTCTAACTGTTGCTTCCTGACCTGCATACAGGTTTCTTAAGAGGCAGGTCAGGTCTGGTATTCCCATCTCCTTCAGAATTTTCCACAGTTTGTTGTGATCCACACAGTCAAAGGCTTTGGAATAGTCATGTCACTTAGAGATTATCTAGTTCTCATCAGTATTTTGCTGATGAAGAAAATATACCTAGGAAAGAAAAATGGCTTGCCCAAAGTCACATAGGGTTTTAATGAGGAAGTTGAGAATAGATTTCTTGTCCTGTGCTCCTGCCTTGACACCTTCAGGCCAAAGGACCCTTCCAGGTTTGAAGGCAATACAAAGAAGCAGTGCATCAACATGACATAGGCCCTGCTTTCAAGTAAAAGTAGTTATTCCAGCTGGGTCCCCTTCCCACCTCCTCTTAGAATTTAACTTCATCAATTATCCTTTTGTCACTGTAATCCCCCACTCTCCCCACTGGTTTATTCTCTTCTCCCAACATGCCTCCCTAAGAATTAGGACCCTCAACTGACCCTGACCATCTACTGAACTCTGCCCATTCCCCTTATACCACCAATCTCCTCCAGAGACACCTTTATTCTTTTTCACCTCACCTTTCACTGACCCTTGAAGCCCATATGACCTCAGACAATAAACAAATTGCTCTCTCTAAGGTCACCATCAACTTCTGAATCACCAAATTCAATGGCCTTTTCATTGTTCTTTGTTTATCTGCAATATCTGACTCTCCTGACCATATCTCTTTTTCTCTACTAGTGCCCCATGCTCCAATGTCCCACATCACTTTAGGCTCTGTGCCCTCTATGTCCCTTAGATCTGTCTTCTCTTGTCCTGCATCTATTGCCACCATGTTAGTCGAATTTATAATCTTTCATTTCTCTTCTCCAGACCACCTCATTATTGAGCTTAGCACAGAATCAAAGAAATGTAGAGTAGGAAATTATATTAATGAAATCAGGATTCAACTCACAGCATTCCTGGTGGGCAGTTATTTCATCCTCTGCCTGGTATGATGGAAAGCAAGAGGATTAAGAGTCAAAAAAATCTGGAATGATTTCCTAATTTCATCTTCTATTAACCGAGTGACATTGAGACTGAGCCTCCATTTTCTCATTTATAAAAGAAGATATTGGGACTTCCGTGGCAGTCTAGTGGTCAAGACTTCGTCCTTCTACTGCAGAGTCTAGGTGCAGTTTCAATCCCTGGTCAGGGAACTAAGATCCCATATACTGTGTGGCATGGCCAGAAAAAAAGAATGAAAATATTAATATATATGCCTGAGTATAAGTAATATGAAGATCAAATTTGATCATTTATGTCAAAGAATTTCCTAAACAATAAATCTTACATGTTACTGTTGTTCTTAACGATGGGAAACTAAATATCCTTCAAACATCCCTTCCATTCCCTAGAAGCAGGAATCTTTAGAAAGATTTTCTGCATATCAGTATCAATTTACCTCCTGTAACTTCTAATTATTAATCTTAGATTTACTCTCTCAAATCTTGCAATGAATTTTTAATGATAATACTCAGTTATTGAAAGTATGAGGAATAATTATTCTCATAGACTGTTGATAATATACCTATTTGGAGAACAATTTGGCAAGAGCTATTAAAATTTGAAATATGCACATCCTTTAACCCAGCAAATCCACTTCTAAGAATTTATCCTATAGAAATGTCCACAAAGATACATGTCTAAAGATACTCTTTACAACAGTATTTGTAAAGGCTTTTTTAAAAGTGGGGGAGGGGTACAGTTCAAATGTCCATCAATAGTGGATTGAATTAATAAATTTGTTACAACCACATAAGGAAATACTATTTGACTCTTGAATAAGTGTCTAGAGACTGATATGCAAAGATATACAAAATACCATAAGTTTTTTTTTTTAATTCAAATATAATATAGAATGTGGATCCATTGCTTTTTATCAATTGCTTATAAAGGGTAAAAATAAACACACCCCTCTACATGTTCATACATACACACAAGCATCTAGAGGACATGCTCCAAAATATTTGGGGACATGAGATTATAGTCAACTTCCTCTTGGTATTTTTTACATTTCTGGTGTTGGTTTTGCAACTGCAAAGATAATAAAGGTATTTGACCCCTTCCTTAATCCCTTACCTCCTTCTCATTATAACCCTGTATCTATTCTTCCCTTCAAGGTCAAACTTCTTAAAAGAGTTACTTACTAAATTTCTTATCTCCTATTTGGTCCTAAACTCACTGCAATCCAGGTTTTGAACTCAATACTCAACTGAAGTTATCCATATGCAGGTCAGGAAGCAACAGAGAACTGGACATGAAACAACAGACTGGTTCCAAATCAGGAAAGGAGTACGTCAAGCCTGTATATTGTCACCCTGCTTATTTAACTTATATGCAGAGTACATCATGAGAAATGCTGGACTGGATGAAGCACAAGCTGGAATCAAGATTGCCAGAAGAAATATCAATAATCTCAGATGTGCAGATGACACCACCCTTATGGAAGAAAGTGAGGAAGAACTAGAGCCTCTTGAAAGTGAAAGAGGAGAGTGAAAAAGTTGGCTTAAAACTCAACATTCAAAAAACTAAGATCACGGCATCTAGTCCCATCACTTCATGGCAAATAGATGGGGAAACAATGGAAACAGTGGCTAACTTTATTTTTTGGGGCTCCAAAATCACTACAGATGGTGATTGCAGCCATGAAATCAAAAGACGGTTGCTCCTTGGAAGAAAAGTTATGACCAACCTAGACAGCATATTAAAAAGCAGAGACATTACTTTGCCAACAAAGGTCCATCTTGTCAAAACTATGGTTTTTCCAGTAGCCATGTATGGATGTGAGAGTTGTACTATAAAGAAAGCTGAGTGAGAAGAATTGATGCTTTTGAACTGTGGTGTTGGAGGATACTCTTGAGATTCCTTGGACTGCAGGAGATTCAACCAGTCCACCTTAAAGGAAATCAGTCCTGAATATTCATTGGAAGGGCTGATGCTGAAGCTGAAACTCCAATATTTTGGCCACCTGATGGGAAGAGCCAACTCATTTGAAAAGACCCTGATGCTGGGAAAGATTGAAGGTGGGAGTAGAAGGGGATGACAGAGGATGAGATGGTTAGATGGCATCACCGACACGATGGACATGAGTTTGAGTAGGTTTCAGGAGTTGGTGATGGACAGTGAGGCCTGGCATGCTGCAGTCCATGACGTTGCAGAGTCGGACACGACTGAGTGACTGAACTGAACTGAACAAGAAGGGGACTAAGACCATCTTTATGAACAAATTAAATAAACATTTTCCAGTCCTCACTTTATGTGACCTCTCAGTATTGTCAAACATAGATAGCCAGTCCTTTCTTCTTGACATGTCTTCTCTTGCCTCTGTTATTCCTCTCACTGATTTCTCTGCCTCTGCTGGCCCTTACATTTCCATGTCTCAGAGGTTCTATCCCAGTCTTTTCTCACTTCACACATTCTCTGTGAGTAATCTCACCTACTCCCATGGCTTTGATCACCATTTTGCCAAACTTAATCTGAATCCAAATCTCCCTCCTAAATTCCACAACCAAAAGATAAAAGGCCTAACATACATCTATCTTCAATGTTCTACAAATACTTCAAATTCAAACTGCTCAAAACTAAATTCATGATCTTTTCCCACAAACTAGCTTTTTGTTTTGTTTGTTTGTTTTTTAATACTCTTTATTTTCCATCTTACCTAAAGTGAAAGATTCTGGGAATAGTATGGCAAAAACCACTACAATATTGTAAAGTAATTAGCCTCCAACTAATAAAAATAAATGGAAAAATATATATATAGATGGAGCCCAGCCAAGTACAGGGTCCTATGGAATATTCACAAACTAGCTTTTATCATGTTCTCTATCTTAAGGAATGCCAAGTATCCATTCCAGAAACCTTAATTTCATCCTCAGTTTCTCCCAATTCACTTCATCAATCTCTGCCTCTAGTTTTTTCCATCTGACCTCTTTTCTTCCCTGCAGCCAGAGTGACTTTTTCTAAAATGTAAATATGATTGTGTCACTGCCCTGTTTAAAAATCATTCAATGACTCCCTATTCCTTTTAGAATAGGCTCAAATAGAATAGATGGCAGGGCATCCAAGGCCCCAACTTACCTCTCCAAGTTTGTCTTGACAACTTCTTCATTTCTGTAACCAGAGCTACATGAATTTCTTAGAAAATGCTATGCTCCCTCTTGCCTCAAAACCTTGACAGTTTCTCTGTCTAAAGTATCTTTCTCTGCCTTAAGCAACTTCCCTGCCTCTCCATCCATGCCCCCACGACTCCTACACACACATACACACACACACACACACACACTTCACTTGTTTAATTCTTCAGGTCTGTCTCCAGGTTTTGCTGCTCCTCCAAGGCCAGTTTAAAGCAATTTGTGTTTATACATTATAATCCCTTATTATATCACAACAGTTTATCTATTTTTCACTAATTTGCAAGCTCTTTGAGAGCAGATTCTGTCTTTGTTTAAAAAGCACACAGATTGCATTACAACATACCAAGAACTTTTCTACATGCTTTATAAATAGTTACTCTTTCATTCCTCCTAACAACCCATAGGAGGTAGGTCATAGGGAAGTATTATCATTATTTATAGATAAATTGAGGCCTGGCATAGAGAAGTTAAGTAACTTGCCCAAGATCACATAGTCAATCAGTGGCACAGCTGGAACTCAAAGTCAGGTAATCTGATTTCAGGGTCCATGATCTTAACCTCTATACTATCTTATTAGTTACTCTATCGAGAGAAGTACTTAGTAAATAGTATGTATTCAATAAATAGTTCTTTGATAATTAGAACTACTCCTGAATACCTATATTTGGGACACTCATGGAGACTAGAAGAGGATGTTGCTGCTGCTGCTACTGCTGCTAAGTCGCTTCAGTCGTGTCCGACTCTGTGCGACCCCACAGACGGCAGCCCACCAGGCTCCCCCGTCCCTGGGATTCTCCAAGCAAGAACACTGGAGTGGGTAGCCATTTCCTTCTCCAATGCATGAAAGTGAAAAGGGAAAGTGAAGTCGCTCAGTCGTGTCCGACTCTTCGCGATCCCATGGACTGCAGCCCACCAGACTCCTCTGCCCATGGGATTTTCCAGGCAAGAGTACTGGAGTGGGTTGCCATTGCCTTCTCTGAGAAAAAGATGTTAGGAGGGGCTAAAAATCCCCAAAGAAGATTAGCTTGGCTCTCAGGTCTCACCCTTTCAAACTGCTAAACAGGTCCTCGGTGACTTTGTGCACCTGGAGCACATCCTCCCGGATGAGGGTGATGTACAGGGAGCCCTGCAGACACAGCTTCCACAGTTTCTGGCAGTCGGCATTGGAGTTGAGGCACCCATGACAAAGAAGAAACCCAACTGCAGGTGGGTGAAACAGTGCAAAGGAAGACTTTTAGGACTTGATCTCCATGTAACATGCTGCTAGGCCTAGTCCCACCTCAACCCACAAAAAACTTACTGACAATCCAACGCTCCATCACTTCCACAGACAGGTACTCACAGGCCATCTACGAGAAGGGAGGCAGAGATGGTTTAACAGCTATTTAACTTGGTCTAAAGACTAAGGCGGTCAAGACAAGGGCAATCAAGCTAGAATTTGAGGATCAAACACAACTCTTATTTTACCAGACTGGATCAGGATACTTTGATAAGTCAATACCTGGGAAAACATGCCTAGAAGGTGAGGCACTAGAGGTGAGGCACTAGAAGTGGATTGAGGGGGAAATATAGTTGATGGGGGGAAAGGAACTTAGGCTAGAAGTCAGGACAAATAAATGGTTTGACATAACTTCTCTTCAATAGTTCAGGAGAGTAATACTCAAAATCTTATGGTTTCCCCCTCCCTTGGATTCTTTCACCATGTAAGATATAAATCACTTGTCTGGTGCTTCTCATACATCTTATACCATCAGTTCTATTTTTATGACCCAATGGCGTATCTTCCTACTAGACGAGAAATTCTTTGCATCAAGGACCTTGGGCCAATAGTAATTGAATAAAAACATTTGTTAATTAGTTGACATCTATGCTCAAGTTCCTGCTGGGCTAAATAAGTGCCTAACGACTCAGTTTCATCCATTCATTCATTCTGTGAATATTTATTAACTTCCTTCTATGGGCAGGCACTTCCTAATTCTGATCCAAAGAAAAGCTTCAACCTAACCATGATTTTTTTAGCCACATAAGGTGATCAACACAGAGGCATATCCTAGCAGAGGGCTAAAGCACTCTGAGGGCTGATATTTCTCGAAAATAAGATGCCTCTACAGAAATGGCCTTGGAAAGAGCATGCTTCCACTGGCGAGGAAAAGAGAACTCACTGTGTCTGAATTAGCAGGGTTAATCATGGCTGAGGCCGTGCCAATAAGACTCAGAAGCTGGACACTGCGCCACTGCTCAGCCCCTTGGTTCCTTCGGACAAAGAGGCAGTACAAAGAGAGGAGGGCTTCACTCACAGCCTGTGAGGGAAAACAAATGAATCCTTAAAGTCAATGATCGGACACCCTACTTCTGCCTGAGAAGTCCTCCGATCTCTCAAGAAACTTGCCTTTGTGTGAGGCCCAAACTCCTCTGTCAGCTTCTTCAGAGGGTGGTCATACTCCAAGACCATCTGACCCAGACGGGCAAAACTGGAGTCACTTGAAGAAAGCATAGGGAAAATGCTTACAGCCCTCCATTAAGCATGATGTAAACTCTCATGTTTGCATATAGGTTAAAGGTGTGTACATAAGCTGGTATTCTCTACCACCTGCAAAGATACTAAACCGTAAGTTACATATAAAAATAACCCACCCTAGGCCCAGGAACACTAAGACAGAATCACATGATTTTGGGGCTGGTCCATGAAAGTTTCTTCCTTACAAGCAACTGAAATAGGGTTGAACACACAATAGGTACTCTACAAATTCATGTTGATTAGTTATTGCTGAACTCAAATCTGTATACAGACCAAAAGGATTACACACACACACACACACACACACATTCAAAGCAAATGTAAGTCATGTGTCTAGGTACTCGTGTAGGCACGTAGGACTTTACATCATACATAGAACAATGTTCAACAGCCCACTCTGATCTCTCTGGTCTTCACTTTTTTCAGCCTTTAAATGCTTTTATTTGCACTAACAAAAAGGCAAAGAATTGTACATAATCCAAAATCCATTTATATTTGGCTTCAAATGTATTATCATACATTACTTACCTCTAAAGGCTTTAACTTAACTAATATTATTCCTACTAATATTAAAAAATGTTTTCTTTGCTTTCTGCAATAACCTCAGCCCAGGATTAAAAACTCATTAGAGATAATGTAGACTGAATAGCCCACTAGCAGATATTCAAGAGTTAACCATATGTAGATGTGCACGTCTTAGTGTATGCCCTTATAAGTATTCTAAATTGTTTTATTTTGCCTGTGTCATCATGTAGATTATAGATTCTCACATGAGAAAGCACGCCATCTACTTCCTTTGTATCCACTTTTACCTCATAACACCACGTAAGAGAATCATCATCTTGTATACATCTCCTTAACTCACCTGTGTCCATGCAGCATCTCATGGGCACAGTTGAACATGCCAATGAGTACCCGTCGATCCTCAATGCGTGATAGAAGCAAAATAACTGAAGTGTAAGTCACTATCAAGTCCAGATAACTCCGAGTGAAGTCAAAGTTGAGATTCTACAAGGAAAATACATAGAAACCCAAGAATGGCAAGGCCTATTAAACTCGATTTCCCCAATCATTCCGGACAGTGCTAACCAGACTCTGGAAAGGTCTATTTATTTATTTATTTATTTTGGAAAGGTCTATTTAGAAGAAGAAATTGGGGACTTCCCTTGCGGCCCAGTGGCTAAGACTGAGCTCCCAGTGCAGGGGGTCTGAGTTCGATCCCTGGTCAGGGAACTAGATCCCTCATGCTGCAACTAAGACCTGGTACAGTCAAATAAATAAATATCTATATTAGAAAAAAAGAAGAAGAAATTGACAAGACTGCAAATTCAGAAGAAAATTGAAACAAGTTCAGCGGCTAAAACCGAACTCAAGATACAAGGAGGCCAGGAAATTAAAGCTGGCCTAATTAGGTGTTGGATGAGATAGAATAACAACAATTTTATGTGAATTTTGTATTAAAAAAATCACAGTGAGGATCTGCTTAACATGTAAATGCACTTTAACATCCACATTTTTACAGAAGTATAGTTCTAAATTAATAGCCATTCATTCAATATATAGTATATACTATACTATAGTCCTGGGGGAACAGCCATTCCTCTAGTCCCATCCCATCCCACACTGTCCCAACAGAGACCATTTCCATGGCTCTGGGATAGAAGAGAATTGCAAAGAATCTTACGATATCAAAATGGCACTGGCAGGCATCAATGGTGTTGAGAAGTTCATACACATGATCCTGGGGGTAGAATTGGAGATGAGAATCAGTGAAGAAGAAAGAGAAGATGACAGGTACTACGGGAATTTGAGGGAAAGGCGCTCTTCCTTGAAGGTCCTGAGGAGCCACTGAATAACGCACAGGAGGCTTGCTGAGTTCCGGAAGCTCCTCCTCCATAAGCTGTCGGCGGGCCCCCGTCAGGCTACCCTACCGGATGCCCATGTCTCCACAGGCACAGGTCCCTACTACACCGCGCACGCCTTCCATCATCTTACTGTCCCGGTGCCCTCTTCCTCCACACACACACACACACAAAGGTTACAAAATGCAGATTATCTGACTGTTTCTAAAATACCAAAAATCAGGACCCCCCCCTTTTTTTAATTGATGAATCCCAAAATCAGTCTGTTCTTTGATTCTATCTCCTGTTCTCTTTAACAAATGGGAATACTACCAAACTTTCTACATGTTTCTACTTACTGATCACCTACCACAATATATGCTAAGTACTTACTAGGTTATTTGCATATACTTCATTTAACCCTCATTCCAGTGTGAGAGGGATTCTTTTCTTTTCATACCTAATTTTGCCTAAATAACAAGCAGTTTTACTCTGGATACTTCTCTCCTCCCTCACATCAGCACCCGCTCTACATCCTTTCCAACCTTCAGGTAGACAAGTTTAACAACCTAATATGTCCTTTGTTCATTTTTCACCCTATTTATATAATCCTATTCAGGCAGGGAGAAAAAGAGAGAGGGTTTTTTTGAAAATCATTTGTGTTAAAAACTTGAGATAATATCACACTCTTATTACCATTTTACTTTTTTTATTCAATCATACCTGCTAAAAGTCCTCAAGTCTCTGGTAGAGCCCTAATGCACTTCTTTTTAATAGCTGCATGGTAGTCCATGATATGGCCAATTCATTCCATCTTTTCCCAACTGATGCCCTAGTCACTGCACATTGATACTATCAATTCTACACAAGTTGAGCTACTAGATCAAAGAGTATATATATATTTATTTTTAAAACACATTGCCAAAAGATTTGAATAGGCTCTTTAAAATTAAAAATATAAAAGTGGTATGGCTCAGTCCCTTTGCTGTTATCTGAAACTCACAACATTGTTAGCCTGCTATACCCCAACACAAAATTAAAAGTTTAAATATATACATATAAATGACCAATAAGAACATAAAAAAATGTCCAATAATACTAATCATCAGGAAAATGCAAATTAAAATCACAAGAAGATACCACTACACACCCAGTGCAGTGCAGTGCTCAGTCATGTCTGACTCTTTGCAACCCCATGGACTGCAACCTGCCAGGCTCCTTTGTCCATGGAATTTTCCAGGCAAGATATGCTGGAGGGGATTGCCATTTCCTACTTCAGGGGATCTTCCTGGCTCAGGGATTGAACCTGCATCTCCTGCATTGGCAGGCAGATTCACACACCCATTAGAATGACTAAAATTCAGGAGTTCCCTGGAGGTCCAGTGGTTAGGACTTGGAACTTTAATTGCAGTGGCCCAGCTTCAATTCTGGTCAAGGAACTAAGATTCTGAAAGCCACTCAGCACAACCAAAAAAACAAACGAAGAATGACTAGGGACTTCCCTGGAAGTTCAGTGGTTAAGACTTTGCTCCTAATGCAGGGAGCATGAGTTCAATTCCTGGCCGGGGAACTAATAGCCTACATGCCACACAGCGCATGGCCATGAATGACATGAATGACTAAAAACAAGCTTGATAAGAATGTGGCAACAGGAACACTAGTATATTGTGGATGGGAAGAGAAAATGGAACAATGACTTTGGAGAAAAATTTGGCAATTTCTTAAAAAATTAAACATAACATATCATATGATTTAGCAATTCAACTTCTAGAGTATTTATCCAAGTGAAATGAAAAATATGTCCCCACAATTATTTGTACTCAAATGTTTATGGCAACTTATGCATAGTGGCCAAAAACTGGACACAATCCAGAAGTTCATCAACAGGAAAATGGATAAATAGATTGTATCCATACAATGAAATAGTGCTCAGCAAAAATAGGAAATGACTTGCAGGTACGTAAAACATAAATAAATCTTAAAAATATTATATTGAGTGAAAGAAGCCAGACACAAAGGAAAACATGGTGTATAGATCCTAATTACATGTATGAACCTCTAAAAAAGAAAAATCTAATCTGGAATGTAGATCAATGGTTGCCTGGGGACAGGATAAGTTGGGATTGACTAAGGATAAAAAGGTGCAGGGAACCTTTGTGTTACTGAAAATTATCCATATTTTATGCTGGCTGTTACACAGGTATATACATTTGTCAAATTTATTAAATGTATGAGAAAAAAATGTTTCCAAGTTATCTTCCCCAAAAGGCTGTACCTAAATTAACATGCAGGGAAACTGAGGCTGAGAGCAGTTAAGAAACTCACCACAGATCACAAAGCTAGTAAGGACCAGAATTAGAACCCAGAGCCCATGATCTTCTCTCTGTACTACATGACCTCAAGACCTCTGTCTAGGTCTATGCTGCCTCCTTAGCTGGGAGGGCCAGCCTACAACGCCTTGCTGCAACCTAATTCCCAAGGGATAATATAACTGAGGTTTGCTTCCACCCACTCACACAACTGATGTCACTACCCAGATTTTATACTGTAAAGATAGAGTCAGAAAGAAATAGATTTAACATCTGTTGGCCTATTACTCTATTATACACTAAACACTGTGTTAAGTGTTTTCAATGTGTTGTCTAATTTAATTTTTACAAATACCCCATGTAGTAAATCTTATTTCCCATTTTACAAGATAAAGAAACTGGGATTCAAAGAGTTTCTTACCAAAGTCATATAGTTTATAAGTGATAAAGCTGAGAGCTGAAACCAGGTCTGTCTGATTCAGAGCCTACCTACTTCACAACACACAATACCTGTATCTCTATTTCCCTTCCAGCCCTGAATGAGCTGTACTGAATTCCTTGGGCTCAGAAGTTTACCACTGCAGCAACCAGAAGGTGTCTTTTGGACTCCTAGTGAAAAACTTTTTTATATGCTTCCAGCAATCTTCTACTACCTCCACCACTGCCTACCTTCTTCCTAACCATTACTCTCAATTCCAAATGAATAACCTCTGACCTGACCCTCCTTCAGAACCTATGATCTTCTGTGTCCCTGTTTCTATCTTCATTGCATGATCTGATGACCAGCCTGGATTAGCTCCCTAGACAGCCAAGGCAGGGCTCCATACTCTTGTACTAGCTGAAGAAATACTGTGATACCATCACAAACTTACATGACTCAAATAACTACAATTTTTTATTTCTTGAATATACAAATAATGTGTTCATTGTAGAAAAATCAGAAAACACAAACATAATTTTAACTCATTTTTAAAACCACTCATAATCTCATCATACAAAGTTCTAACCTTCTTCATATGCATTTTTATCTATGTAAATATACATGTTAGGGACATCTCCTCTGTTAAGCTACGTTGTAATTTGCTTTTACACTAAAGAACATGTGAAGAGCATTTTTCCCATGCCAAGTAATATAAACATGTTTCATCTTCAGCAGCTGTATAATATTCACTTATAGACACATACTCTGAACTTTTAATTAAGCCTTCAGTTATTGAACATATCAATTATCAAGTTGTCACTATCATAAATAATGCAATAGAAATGCAAGAGTACACTCTTGTAGCACTTCTGACTGTTTCCTTAAGACAAATTTCTAGAATTAGAATTATTACATTTAAAAGTATATTTTCTAAGACTATTAAAAATTTATATCAATCTGCCCTTCAAAAACAAAGCACTAAATATTTTTTTACAGTTTATGGCTATAAAACAGTACATATTCATTGTTTAGAACTCAAATAAAATATCATCCATATATTATGCTACCAAACATTGTTAATAATTAGATAAGCTCAAATTGAGAGAAATTCTGAAAAATAATTAGTCTGAACCCTTCAGAAAAGTCAGTGTCATGAAAGACAAAAGAAGACTGAGAATTATTCTAGATTAAAGACTAAAAAGATATGACAACTAAGAGACATAACATCATGAATTCAATGTATGATCCTTGAGAAAATTAGAGGAATGTGAATATGGGCTATAACTATAACATTGTAGCAATTTTACATTTCCTGAGTACAATAACTGCATTAAGGTTATGTAAGAAAATATTCTTGTTCTTAGCAGATGTATGCTAAAGTATTTATGGAGAGAAATGTCATGGTGCCTGCAACTCAAATGGTTCAAGGGAAAAAAAAAAGATAAGCAAACATGGCAAAATATTAAAAATCAGGAGATCCAGGGGGAGCATAGACCAATATTCATTGTACTATTCTTGAAATTTTTTAGTAGATTTTGTAATAAAGTTTGGAGGGGGAAATACTTAAAATTTTAACTTAAAGAATACAAAAATGTATAATGTAATAAATTAAAGCCAATCATAATAATCCAGCTCCAAAGTCAGGTATTTTTAACAGCTTAATGTATAATATCCCAAATCTCTCCTACATATATACTAACACTATGTGTATTAAATTTATGTATCTTTTAAAACAAAAATAAAACTGTATCATACACTATTCTACAACTCACTTTCACTTAACAATACAACTTAGATATCCTTCCTTATCAATACATCTGATATTTTAAAGAAACAATAATAAGGAACATACACAAACATCCAAACATTGGGTACTTGGGCTAGAGAGAGCTCACCCGAAATTCCATAACATCCACAAATGACTGGTAGTAGTTGGTAAGGTATCTAATTATCTCAGATTTTTCCCGCTGTACTGGTCCTAAATGTTGCTGAAAGAAACAAAGTAAGAAGACAAGTGATCAAAGCAACCCAAGACAATAGAGGTTATACCTAAAACATTCTTAAAGAGGGTTAAAATATGCAAACAGAGGAAGTTGGAAGATCTCCAAATTCTGAAGTTTCAGAGAGCATATTCTCTATCTAGACAGGATGGTTGCATGTAATCCTGACTAGATAAAGAGTGCTAAATGAGAGAAAGTTTCAAGGTCTCTTTCAGCCAAAGTGATTTACTATTCATATCTAAGTCAAAAGTAGCTGAATGAGAAGATGTTATAAGTAAGATGGTAAGAAATCTAGGGGTAACATTTAATAAGGGAGAAGTAAGGCATATGCCACTAGATGCATAACTCTAAGACAGTAAACAAGAAAACACTGAGTGGAAACAGGAGCAACAATAAAATATATGCAACTGCTGCATCAGGAGAGCTCTCCTTCTCAATAAGAACAAAGTGTTCTTGTGAATAGGGTCAACGTTTTGCTCCAGCTTACCCTTAGGAGAATCTCATCTTATCTCAGAAATCTCAAGACTACAGCAAGCTGAAGCCCTGTGGTTTAGCTTAGGAAAACTAAAAAAAGGCCACTCCGTCCTCTGGCAAGTTCAAAGAGAGGCCATCAAAAGAGAGCTTGAACCATTCAAGCACAGTTATTTTGGAGAAAGGACAGAAGAGGGACATCATTCTTACCGTGCTGTTTCGGATATCTATGTTGGGAAATTTTTTGTTGATGTACTTGAGAGATGATTCCATGGACTTTTCCAATAAGAAAGGGGGCTTGGATTTCGGGTCTGAACAAGTCTGCACAGATAAATAACATTATGTTTATCAACCCTTTCTCCTGTTCCTCGGAAACATACCTCTTCCCACATTGTGCATTCTTACACAATCTCTCTTAGGGAAAGGGGATCTGAGGATTATAAAAGAATAAGAGTAGGTCAGGTAAAAGTTCCATAACATTAAGCCAATCATCAGAAGAGCTAAATAACCTGGGCATTTCGTCTTGCTGGATAAAGTCTAACGTCTGCTTGGGCCCGGCACAAAGAGGAAGTTCTCTCCACCCCTCAGCCGAAGCCGGAAGGAGTGAGAAAAGCAGCTGCTCAGGAGCTAGACTTAGTGGGAGAATTAGTGTCATAATTATATTCATAATGTCCATTATATAAGCATATCATCCCAAGGGCATTTATAGGAGGCATGGAGATGAAACTGTGTCCCAGTGATTTGTTTTATTATGAAATGCATCAAGGTCCCCTCCCCCAAGTCCCCCATTTTCGTTCCCAGAAACCCCACTCCAACCCATCTTTATTTCTTAACTTCACTAGGCCCAGCACTAGCCCACCTCTTGTCACCAGCTTCTCCCAATTCCCCAGTTTCTATCCTAAACACACATAAATAAGACCACAGTGAGACCTGTCTCAGACTCTAAGTAACTCAAAGGTAGTTACTCTTTTTTTTTAACCCAAATTTCCTATCTATTTTTTCCTTTCAGGGAAAGTACTTCCATTTAAAAACTTTTGCCAGACACCCAACTCGATTTCTTCAGAGTGTGGGGGCCAGCACTAAACAATAAGACCCAGGATTCTAGACCCAGACATTTATCCAGGCGACTCGGAACATTATTTTCCATCCCACCGTTACCCCCAGTAGAAAGCAGACGTTCTCTTTGAGGTGAGAATCATACCCAAAAAGGCGGAAGCCCTGAAGAAAAGCCTCCCCTTCTGCCTCCCAGCACCAGCTGTCCTACATAATCTGAGTGATTGAAGGCCAGTTAAACCAGTGGGAAAGAGAAGGGAGTCTTAACAGCGGACCTGCCAGTCTCAGAGGTCCCCGCCCTACTGCTGTTGGAATAGTTAGTGCTAGTCCAGTTGCCCACACTTACCTTCTTGATGTTATACATCCGGATGAGGACCCCCTGACCGCGATCATTCAGGATAGTGAGCTTCTCTGCTAATTTATGCTGGTAGGCAGAGGTCAAAGACATGATGGCCACTGAGAGACAGGAGCATCCAGACAGCAATGCCTGATCTCCCCAAACACTTTCCGCTAAAGTGGTGACACCCTCTGGGCGGAGGCTCCCAGCCTGGTTGGTGCGCTGGTCTTCCTGTCACCTCTACAATTGGCTTGTGGCTGAAAGTAGTCATTACGCCTCATAGGCCCTCAGAATCTTCTGTGCTTCCTCTTGCACACTCAGCAGGGGACACTTCCTCTTTCTAGCTCTGCAGTATTTTTGGTAAGACTGTGAAATGAGTGGGGTGGGGGACAGGGGCAGGCTTTCAAGGCTCTTCATAGTCTGGCACCAACCTTTTTGGCCTTAGCCTTCCACTAGTGTCCTATAAGGGGCTTCCCAGGTGGCTCAATGGTAAAGAATCTGCCTGCAATGCAGGAGACATGGATTCAATTCCTGGGTTGGGAAGATCCCCTAGAGAAGGAAATGGCAACCCACTCCAGTACTCTTGCCTGGGAAATCCCACGGACAGAGGAGCCTGGTGGGCTACAGTCCATGGGGTCGAAAAAGAGTTGGATATCACATAGCAACTAGACAACAACAATGTCCTATATAAAGCTCCACAGCAGACAAACAAGTCCCATCCACCTTTATACTTTCCCTCTTCTTTATCCCCATCAAGAATGCTTGGGCTTCCCAAGTGGCGCTAATGGTAAAGAACCATCGTCCCAATGCAAGAGACGTAAGAAATGCAGTTTCAATTCCTGAGTTGGGAAGATCCCTTAGAGAAGGAAATGGCAACCCACTCCAGTATTCTTGCCTGGGAAATCCCACGGACAGAGGAGCCTGGTGGGCTACAGTCTATGCAGTCGCAAAGAGTCAGACACCACTGAAGTGACTTAGCATGCATACACACACTCAAGAATACCTGTTATTCTCTCCTGAAACTTAGGACTATCCACCTGTCAGGGCCCAGATTAAATCCCAACTCCTCCAAGCTACCCTATTCAATATCAAACATTATATATAACATGTATTCCTTGTTATACTGTTAAGTGTATGTCTTATCTCCCCAACTACATCATAAGTTTCTTAATGACAGAAATTGCATCTGATATTTCTTCATCTCCCTGACAATGCTCTAGCATAGTGATTCTCAAAGGGTGGTCACATTAGCATCACCGAGAAATTTATCAGACATGCAAATTCTCAGGTCCTAACCCAGACCTTGGAGAAGGAAATGGCAACCCACTCCAGTATTCTTGCCTGGAGAATTCCATGGACAGAGGAACCTGGCGGACTACAGTCTATGGGGGTCACAGAGAGTCGGACACAACTGAGACACTAACACACACCCAGACCTACTAAATCCAAAGCAGTGGCAGGGTCCAGCACTCTGTTTTAACAAGCCCTCCAGGTTAACTTCAATGCTCTCTCAGGTTTGAGAATCACCACTTAAGTACAATGATTTCTTAAGGGTACTTAAGAAACAGATCAGTCCCTGTCTCCTGAGATTCAGGATTGGAAGGTCTATAGGAGGGGTCTAGAAGTCTGAGTTGACAAGTACCCTAGGAGGTTTTGGCGCAAATGGTCCGCCAGACACATGTTAAGAAACACCGATCTAGACCACCTCTTAGACACAGTAGCCATTCAATAAATATGCTGATTTATTTGCTGAATTATTAAGACTAAATTAGGGGCTTCCCTGGCAGTCCCTTGGTTGAGAATCCGCCTTGCAGTGTAGGGGATACCCGTTTGATCCCTGATCCAGATACCATGTGATGCAAAGCGACTAAGCCCATGAACCACAGCTACTAAGCCCAAGGGCCTAGAACCAGTGCTCAGCAACAAGAGAAGTCGCTGAGACATAGAAGCCTGAGCACCACAACTAAAGTAGTAGCCCCCACTTGCCACAACTAGAAAAGCCCGCACGCAGCAACAAAGACCCAGTGCTGCCAAAAAATTAAATCTATTTTATTTAAAAAAATAATAATACAATAAATGTCATGAAAAAAGACTAACCTGGGAAACAGGTCCCATGAAGAAGAATGAAATTAACTGAGATTAACGAGGGGAAATTAATGACAGACTTTAAATCTTAGAAGACTAGGTAAATTTTAGCACTAAAATATTCTTGCCATTCCAAGTTAGGCCTTATCAAGAAAATCAGCTCCCTTTCAAGTTTCTTATAAGGCAAAAAGCAAAACGTCCTCAGAAAATTCAAATCAGACAGAATTGTCTTCATATCTACCTCCTTTCCAAAACCTTTTCAAAGAAACAAGAAGACAGAATAAAATTTCAAATATCTCTAATGTAGGCTTTGCATTTTCAGAATATAGAATCTGCCTTCCAGTTTATTTCCTACAACTGAGTCCCCAGAAGGCTATGGGCCTAGTATCAGGTGATAGTGGCCCCAGATATCTGAATCACTTGCTATTACCAAAAAATTCAGTTTCTCTAAAGAGATTCGTGAGGTTTCTATTGGTCTTTCACCTTGATGGAGGAGAATAAAGGGCAGGCAGAAAGACACCAATACATAGGGAGCTGAAAAGCAATATAACAGCAGCAGCCTCCCTATAGGTTAATATAGTTCTTATTGGATCTTTCTCACTTGCATTTCTTTCTCTTTTTTTAAATTTATTATTTATTTTGGCTGCGCTGGGTCTTCACTGCTGTGCGCAGGCTTTCTCTAGTTGCAGCAAGTGGGGGCTACTCTTCATTGCAGTGCACAGACTTCCCATTGCAGTGGCTTCTCTGGTTGCCAAATATAGGCTTTAGGTGTGTGGGCCTCAGTAGCTGTGACTCTTGGGCTCTAGAACACGGGCTCAATAGTTGTGGTGCACGGGCTTAGCTGCTCTACGGCATGTGGGATCTTATGAGACCAGGGATCCAACGGGTGTCCCCTGTATTGGCAGGCAGATTCTTGTCCACTGTACCACCAGGGACATCCTCTCACTTGCATTTCTTATCCTCATCCTAAAAATGTTATTGAAGACACTCCATGCCAAGCCAATCTTGTATTCTGCTGTCCCCTTGTATGTCCTAACTTAATGGAGACCAAGTTCTCAGTCTATAGTCAGTGTCCTATGTTCATTTTTCATTTCTGCCTTTCCCATTTATCTATGCTTTCCCTCTTGCTAAACTGAATTCCCAGTCAGTCGTCTGGATCTAGCACAAACAATCTGAAGTCCAGCCCTTGTTGAATTCCTACAGCACTTGGTCTATATCACATATTTTACACCTAAATTAGTTTTCACCTTTTAATTGCCTATTTTATATTATACTGCCACCTCGGCTGAACTGTAAGATTGCTAGGGCCTGGAAACACTTACTTGCCTGTACTTGACATATGGGAAAAGTCTACATTGTGGCATCAGACAGAAATTTGAGCTCAAAGTAATTGAGTACAGTGGACTGAACCTTAGGACTAGGATCCCAGGTTCTGGAGTCAGGTAATTTGAGCTCACAGCCCAACTCTATCACTTAGCAGCTCTGATCCAGTTTCCCTGAGTGCAAAATGGAGATGATATTGATACTAGTTCCTATTTCTTGGGTGTATTGTGTGTATTAAATAAGTTACGGCATGTAAAGTGGTGACTTGGTTATTTACTATGTATCAGGTCCTTCAAGTGCTTGACAAGTATTACATCAAATAATACTAATAATGATACTCAAACACTCACTTTGTAACTTTAGGCTATTCGTCACCACTGAGCTGGTTTCCTAATCTATACAAATGGCAACAACCCCTCATACAACTGCACAAGCAACTGTATGACCTGGTACATGTACACATTTGGCTCAAAACCTGGCAGCTGGATTAGGAAGACCAAATATAATTTTTTTCCTTTTTTTAACATGTAGTGAGCTTATGTTACTGTCTGCAGAATTCTATTTTGCACCCCATAAAGAAAAAGGCCAGGTTTAAAGGTGAGACTAATCATGTCAACAGGTAATCTTTTTTTTTTCCCCATTTTTATTAGTTGGAGGCTAATTACTTTACAATATTGTAGTGGTTTTTGCCATACATTGACATGAATCAGCCATGGAGTTACATGTATTCCCCATCTCGATCCCCCCTCCCACCTCCCTCTCCACCCAATTCCTCTGGGTCTTCCCAGTGCACCAGGCCTGAGCACTTGTCTCATGCATCCAGCCTGGGCTGGTGATCTACCAACAGGTAATCTTTAGTGAAATTCACTGGAAACATTATGTGGCAGTTTCTGCAGGAAACTGGTGGCACACTTTGAAGAGTAATTTAATTACCCCAGAGCAGGGTCTAGTAACCCTGGCTACAAATCAGAATCCCCTGTGGAACTCTTTTAAAGCCACAGTTAGCCAGACCCCATTCATGAGGATTCTAATCCAATAGTTCTTGGGTGGGGTCAAAAGCTCTGTCACTTTAAAACTACTCAGTGATTCTCAGGCACACACGACTGGGATGGAGAATCACTTCTCAAGATTTAACTATGACATCAAAAACTTTGAAACCTCTGAGAAACCACAGAACATACAGTGGGAGAAGAGGAATTGGGTAGCTCAAAACAGAAAGTTGCTTCACATCACCTGACTGAAAGGTACTGTGCTTTCCCTCTCTTCAAACTTCAGCTATTTGCCTTGTTTTGCCTTACAGAAGGGTTTTCCTCTTCAAGGCACTCTGCCCTTCGGATTTTTGAGAGACACTGTTTCAAGAATAAGGTAGGTCTAAAGAGCCTTTAGACTACGTTTAAGTGTCAAGCTAGCATCAAGACTGGAATACGCTTGCTGAGTCTGACATGTATTAAACCAAATGACCTCCATTATAGTGTTGGTCTCTCTCCATGGGATATTCAGCTATCTATAATTAGGTGAGCGATAAATGGGAACCCATTCCAGTACTCTTGCCTGGAAAATCCCATGGACAGAGGAGCCTGGTAGGCTACAGTCCATGGGGTCACAAGACTGAGCGACTTCACTTTCCTTTCCTTTCCCAGCTCACCAATACTCCAGGCCCATTCCGAAGCACTCTTTGTTTATTAAGACCAGCCTTATCAGTC